CTCTTGATTAATATAATTTCATCAACACTATATTACTAGACACGTATAACATTTATCACTGATCAGTGATCAATCTCACTTTTACAGGAGGTTAGTTAAAGACCGTGTAGTTCAGTCGTGACGTCTCAAACTATGGAGCTGGTAACATTGGCTACGAAGCGTCCAAATCATCAGCTGCCTCACATTTTCAGGCATGTCTTCCTAACAAATATATATATATATATAAACGCTTGGTTGCGCAGTATATGAATGGCCTTTTCATTCTAGTATTGGACTCCTCAGTAGTAGGAAACCGAGACTCTATGTGATATTAAACTGACTAAATTTACAAATATGAACCGTTGAATGACAAGCCAGCAGTCTGAACTCCAAACTCTCGCTGTGAGGCTTGAAGGTCTTGTGGTTAGTCTACGTTGAATTAGCGGATAGAAACTCTTGAGATTTGCCATTCTAGGATGACACAGCTACCCAATGTACCCTAATTACCAATGGTTACCTAAGTAAGATCAGCTCGTGATACAAAGTATAGAACTTATTATTATTTAGCATTAAATTAAAATGACTTCAACAACTTTCCCATATGTTTACTTATTATTTGCAATCGATTGATCGCTGAGTTGCAATTAATGCCATGTGGATCCCATCAATCAAATAGTTCATTGTTTACAACTGCATCTTAATTAGGCTTGATCATGAAAACAATAGGGTTTTTTGACAGATTGTTTGAAAAATCCAACCCTTATGTAAGTTCGTCGTAAAGCCCACTTCTTTAACTCAGATCCTGTTAAACTGAAATCCATAATTAATCCACAACGTTTTTCAGACATCATGAATTCTTTTTTTTTGGAAAATTTTTTTATTGTTGTCTTACTGTGTAGTAAAATTGATAATAACTACTGTAAAAAAAGGGTTATCCTCTTAGCGTGTGTGAGCAGTTCATCATACGTGACTTTCTCACTGAATGAAAGTCAAAAATAATCTATTTGCTATTGCTACCTAAACTGACAATAATGCTGATAATTAGATTAGACTTTTTCAGATAACATACAGGTATGGATTATTTTTCTTTATTTTCTGCTACTTTACATCAATCATGAATTTGTTAATGAGAGGTTTTCATAGTTTAGATAATGAACTGATCCTAGCTAGACTACCACTGAAAACTAGGAAGCACTAGATAGCTGTCTTGTTCTAGTAGAGGACTACTCAGAAGTGAGTATCCACAACTCTGCATTAAAGAAATAAACCTAGGACAAACCTAGGATCTTGAACATAAACATCAAATCTCTGAAATATTGAGCCGTTATTCATCAGTGAACAAGTTTGACTCCAGTCAATTCTCAAAATCTCGTGACCACCATCCATTCCACAACAACCATAGTTGCATTCCAATGGTCATGGCTGCCCACTAAAACTCCTCGAACTCTTGAAATCCATCCGCGGTGGGGCCGTGGACGTGCGCTACCGAAGAGTTCCATACTGAGATGCAACAGCTGTCCAATACCTTCCGGCTTTCAGTGGTTGTCTAGCTACAATTAGCTGGTGACTTAAACTACGGAAATTCCAAAATACCCACTAGCAATAATGGAAAGTTAATGGTACCACGATTGATGTCAGTCTGTGATGACAACCACTGATAAAATAAACTAATCTGTAAAGAAACATCTTCACAAGAACATAATGTAGATTGGCGTAAATGGCTTGCTGAGAGTAATCCAAGGCCTAAACGTTCCCTGAGAGATCCGAATGTTCTGGGTTGTATTCCAGGACACCGAGCACTAATTCGTCTAATCAAAAAATGGTCTTATTCTTAGAACATTTTGAAATATTCTTTATTAAAAATCAAACTTCTATAAAGTAATTTGTTCTCGGTGCTTCTTTTGTAGACATGCTGAAGAAAGATAAAATTAGAGTAAATATGCTGAATATAATGTAATATTTTTGAACAAGAGGACTAAGTACAAATTTGAATTTAGATTAGTAATAATAATAATAATAATAACAATTTTAGTGGAAGAACCTTTATGTTCTTGATTTTAGTAATACTTTGTTTTAGGAAACAGAGGACTGCTCGAACATTCAGGTCACATTTTTTTCAAACTGTGCAAATATTCCAGTTAAACTATCAGGTTCGCACTTGTTTAAAATAAATAATAGTGAATCCAAATTGTATGTGCTCATGAATTAAAACAAAAGGCTCACAAATTATTGCGATACTGAGTACTGGGAAATTCAAACTGGAACACTGATGCTCATGGCACATTTTCCTTATATCTATTCTTTGAAAAAATGAAATACAATATGTTGGAATTCACGCACCTTATTTTACTGATGAAAGGGAAATTAATTGTGGCAGTTAACCTGGTAGAAAACCATAACGATTAAATACGAACTTTCAGGTCCTTCAAATTTACAATAATATACTAACATTTATTGAGATTATGAACCGGTCAATGTTAGACCACTATTGACGACCTGGAAGCACTGAACAGCGTTTCGTCCCAGTATGGGACTTCCCAGCAGTGATCCATGCGCAGAACTCGAAATTAGGCCATTCGGTTCCTCGCGCTCGAACACTTAACCGCTACTCCTCTGGATTTCCATCTAACGGTGGTAATTTATGACTTCAATCAACCCGTGACATTGAGCGCGAGACCGTAGGTCCTAGGTTCGAATCCTGCTTGTGAGATCTTTGATGCTCACTACTGAAAAGTCGCATAGTAGGACGAAACGCTGACCAGTGCTTCCAGGTTTTCAGTGGTGGTCTAACAAAGATCAGTTCATGATGTCAATTAAAATTCAACAATCTCCGTGACCCTGTACTGATAACTAGCATTTATGTTGAAGTGTTCAAGTTATATCTAATCTTTCTTTCTGACTAATAATATAACTTAATGATGACATATTTACTAGTGATTAGAGATTCTGGGTGGACTTCTAATAGAAACCTATAAAGGATATATTCAAGTTTACTAAATGTGAGATAGCTGTCCACAGAAAACACAAATTGCAGATTATACTGTACTATCAATTAATTGATTTTGATAATGTGAATTAACACCGTGTCTCTTGTGTTGTCGTAAATGTACACTGGTTAAAAGTCCTATACTAAGATGAAACAGTTATCCAGTGCTTTCTGGTATTCAATGTTTTCTTTTCAAAATCAATCTGGTTAGCGTCTTTTTTTAGCGAGTTAGTTTTTCTACGGGATGGGGTCGCTAATCCCATGTCCAACCCTCCTCCTTTAACCGGGCTTGGGACTGTCAGTAACTCTGGAAGAGGTACAGGCGGAGTTTTTTTTTAAAATTAAGACTAGTTTATAATCGCAAATCATAAAATAAAATATTTAATCAATGTTATATTTGATTTTCATTTCACTTTTCCGATGACATCATTTCTTGACCAAACAAATCCCTGAAATTTTTTTTGTAGAAAATCATTCTATTGCAAAATCTTGATGGAATATACCGTACTCTGTTTCATCCACAATAGAAAATTATCTTAATGATCTACTTGATATTGTTTACTTGAATCTTCCCATTGATGTTTAGAACTGCCAAATGAATTTAAACTTCATTCTATTGCACATGCAAGTGGCTTTCAAGACTCAGTAGCTAAATGGTGTTTGAAGCTAACGGTACTGGGTTCGAGTCCCAGATTGGAGGTTAACTCCGGCATGCAGATACATCCAGCTGACGAGTCCCCAATGGTATGAAACCCGTGTCCTGGATTCCATTGCTAGCCACTATCCATCTTTACTTAGAATATCTTAATGATCTTTGGTAAATATTAACCAATAATTTTATATCATAGAACATTCGCGAATATCAAGTTACTCACTGATTCATTCTTTTATTCACCTACTGACATATATTGATACACAAACTTATCTTATTTCTAATTACACATATGTAAATATTGCAATATATATATACATTTTGAAAGTGATATTATTCTATTATTATTGGCTATTAAGATAATATTCTAGAAGAAATTTTACGAAGACGCAAGTAGATAACTAACTAGAAGATAATAAGGACATTTGTCTTTTCTCTCATATTTTCTCTACTTTTCTCAATCGACACGCCAAAGTCCTTCATTAGTATACATACATATATAGAGAGAGATAGGTAGATAAGTATGTAGAAAAATAGTTAATTAGGACATTGAACATTGAATTATATTCTATGCATTAAATTCTTATTGGTGGAAAATAGGAAAAGAGACTATTTTGTTGTTAGCCCATGAAAGTGAAACAATTATTAATCACATAAATTTCTTCATTCTTCAGTTATACCCTCTAATGTCACATCTTTATATATAACTCGGTGTACATCCATACATACAGGTCTACAAATACAAAATTGTGTCCCAAATAAGAATCTAAACTTATTTGTTTGTTTGGTTGGTTTTAGATTTTCGTCTCATTTAGTTTGTCTAATCTAATCACACTCCAGGTGGGCTTGTGAATTCGATTTTGGTTAGAAATAATTTGTAGCTAATGCCTTTTTTTTTTTAAAGAAAATATTTACAACCAACCAAAAATTAAAACATACAGAAAGATTCATCACATACGACACAATGGATAGAGATTCAAAAACAAAAATAATGATTTTTACAGGAAGTAGATAACCCCTGTTATTCTTGAAAAACTATTTATTATTATTATTATTATTTGGTCCCCTTAGTTAGTGTTATGTGCATATTCAAACCACATCCATATGTACAGTATATACTACACAATGTTAATGAAATTCAACGATAGCGGTTTTATTATACGTCTGTCTTTCTGTCTTTACCAATTTATAGTTAGATTATTGAGTGACGAATACTAAAAATGTAGGCAAAGTCTTTTTTTCACCGTCATGTCTTTATTTTTAGGTGTATACATATGTTAGTTATGTAGACAGTTATAGAAAGATTTTGTTCCCTTTTAATAAAAAAAAAAGGTGATACAGAATATCTATGTCCACTAAGAAATGTGCACCGAATGGTCACATAATAATAATTATTATTATAACAAGTGAAACGAATGTAGTGCTGTTTATGTGTATACACAATAGATATAAACATACTACTTGAGTGATTTTTTCTGTACGTACATATATGCATGTAAATGTACGTGCGCGCATACGTACATGGACGTTTACGTACACTTCTATCTGTGTACATTTCTTGTAGGTGCGGTGACAATAAACAAATTTTGTTGGGTGATTTTAATACCTAACATTTTTCCAAGAAATTCATTTTTTGTGAATAATAAGAACAAGATACACTGCCAACAACATTGATTCACTTTTACACTTATTGTACTTGTATACATATATAGTGCATTTGTATTGTATTGTATTGTCAAGTGTACATCAAATCTTGCTGTATTTTATCTACAGATCTTAAAAGACCTGCATATTTCTATAAAATCGTGAAATTCTCTTTACATATAAATATTAATTATGATGGATATGCGCAACAAACTGGAGACTTCAGATAGTTTACCGTTGTGGAATACTGTAAGTTGCTGAAAGCTCATTTCATATGTTGTATATTTATATATTTATTTATTTAGATATTGTATCAAAATAGTTAATATTTGGGTTTTTTCACCTAACAACATTCATTGTAAATATGATATCATTTTAATTTGGATAGTAATAATACAGACTGAATCAGTTTGGAGAATCCTGGCCGATGGCCTGTGCTCCATGAGGTGCAACAGACATAAATAAGTAAGCAAGCTATTGTTAAACTGGCAGGAAGTTTGTTAGTGATTTAGTTAATAAATCTGGTCGAAATTAAGATAGTCATGATGACACTGTTCTGTTAATCAGCTATAAACATTTTATGATTAAATATTCAATTATACAATCCAGTCGACTCGTTTGATCTTATTTGAAACTTGTCAACGGAATATATTTGCGTTTCAATGTGCATTATTCACAATGAACTTTAAACTCATTATTTATCAATTCAGATGTTAACTCATAATACACTTAACAATTGGGCTTACCGTTTCAAAACTCTATTACCAATGTAAAGTAATTAATAAGGAAAATGAAAAGAGATCTTTTTAAAAAAATTATATATAATTTCAGTTCATAAGTTAGACACAACATAAAACTTTATAAGAGACAATTAAGTTATAGTGCTGTATTCATTCATCAATGACCTCATTTAAATGAATTTGTAGAGAATGTTATATTCATTGAAGTCATTTTCAACATAAATTGACATCGGTTAGTGGATTATTGAAACAGTTTATTTCTAGTTTTTGATATCTCGACAGTGCGTACCCAAGATTGATTCGAAATGCACTTCAATAAGAAAATTTAAGATAATTCAGTTGATTCTTTTTTCTTTGATATTATTATTTTCGTCAATCCATGTTTAAAGTAAATACTGGTTAAGATCTATATAACTTGCTTTATAGGAACAAGAGTAGTTTACAAACCCTAACCCATTACCTGGTCACTTTGTGTTTATCTATCAGTTCACATTCTTTTGTAAAGAACAATACAAAGGGTGTAGCTACTATTCAATTCCACATAGATATAAGAATATATTCCAATATGTTTCTTCAAAGCAGAAAAGAAATTGGTTTATAAGTTCATTCGTTGACCCTATCATTTATTGAAGCTGTTTTATAATATTTATAGTTACTTAATATTCCAGTTGTACCTAAGCCACTCCCACTTGTAGCCATGTAACACTGTTACCTATATTATTAGTTTCAATTGACACTTCTAAGTAAATGTAATTATGGCTATATATTGCCACATATCACATGTAATGCTACTGATTTTTCTTTAGAAATCACATTCATCTGTTCTTATTTACGATTTAATATGTTGTTCCTTTCAACTACTGTCGTCATCTTACTTGTCTATCTCCATAGTATACAGTTTAATGAATCTTAATATTATCACCATCTTCATTGACATCTTCATCCCAGATTATTATCCCAAGACCTCCTTGTACATATCATCAGTGGTTACTAAAAAATAGAATATGATGATGTCATAAATAATTGTGAAACAATCTAAAAAGTTAACGTTTTAGAAAAAAAAAGATTTATCGATGAGAAGTATGAAAACTAATTGTCTACTTGTTGAATACAGCAAATTTGAAGGAAGAACATTGAAAAGAAAAGCAGCATAATCTCAACAAAACATACAAATAATGAATATAAATAGATCCCTTCTAATTTTAGTGTAGAAAATTGAGTATAATATTGACATGAATGCTTTGGAGACAGTTTTTTTCTCCAGTAAAAAGAAAATAGAAAAACAAACAATCCATGAAATCCACCTACACAGTTATTTCTGATAATTTGACCATGTTTGCTTTGTTACTTGAGATAAATAATAGATGTTATACATGTGTGAACATGTGTATGTATATATATGAGAGGGACATTGGGTTTATTTATTTATGACGTTTCATTTTCAAGAAGTGCTTAATTCCGATGGATTATTGATTTTAAAAGTTCAAACTACAGTAAGACATCTTTGGATAACAAGTAAATTTTATTTGATATAAATAAGTTGGAAATATGTAGATTAACCAATATCTAGTCAATTAGTCAGCTACAACGTAGGACATGGCACATATTTGCATCGGTTCAGGTTATCATACTTCATTAGCATAACAAGATGAGCACCAATTTTATAGAAGCAGTTATTTTAATGGTAGAGATAAACATTTCATATAAGGATATGATACAGGTAGAAAGGATTGATTCATAGAAAGAAAGTCATAAAATAAGTTTAATCTCATGGTTTAGGGGAAGACAAAGAGTGTTTACACCTATGCCATTGTGATCGATTCTAAGCCATATCACACAGAGTCTCCAACCACCAGTTACGATAGTCACGCGGACCCCAACCAAGTAGTCTGCATCTACCAACATGCCTCACACTAGAAGATTGTGGCTTCAAGCACTGATGCCACATTTTGGTTTGACCGCTCGTATCTCTCTTCCAACCATCCCCTATACTAGTCAGCATTGCGCGTCGTGGTAATAGATGTTCAGGCATACGTAACACGTGGCCTAACCATCAGCATTGCGAGCCGTCGTAGTTGGTGTAAATTCACAACTTGATCAACTCATTTACCATCATCCCGTAATACCCTGAGTCTAAGTTCATCATTATTTACCCGGTAATCACAACATATGCGAGCAATATATCTAAGATACCTATGATCAACTACTGGTAACTTACAAGTATCCTCTACTCATAATCGCCACGTTTCACAGCTGTAACCAATATAGATCAACATCAATAGGAAATTCTAAACTATTTGACAAGTATTCGTTAAAAATGTGTTATGTAATTTATGTAAAGTTTTATTTCAGTTAAGATTAACATTTCATATGACAATAATTTCAAGATAAACTATTCAAATGAATATATTAGTTATCCCTGTTTTTGTTTAAAAAGAAAATAATAAATTATTTTCAATAGTTGATATCATAAGTCAATCGAAGATAGACCACCATGGAAAACCTGGAAGCACTGGATGACAGTTTCATCCTATTATGGAACTCCTCAGCAGCGCGAATCCACGATCCCGCCTCGCGAGATTCAAACCTAGAACCTTTCAATGGGGTATGTTGTGAGATAGTAACTCACTGAAAACAATGGTGAATGTGTCGATCAATTTTGTGGATTAGTTGAAGTTAGACATTAACATCGTTGGATGTCGACTCGGTGGTCTATAGGTTAAGAGCTCGCACACGAGACTGATAGGTCCTGGAATTGAATCTCGCAAGGTGGGATCGTGGATACACACTGTTGAAGAGTTCCGCATTAGGACGAAACGGCCGTTTAGTACTTAGCAACAACATATCAATACTACTTAAATTGGAATTTTCGTTAACATCATTCACCTGTTCAATAATAATAATAATATTCATGGTCAATGATCAATGATTGAAATTTTATTCCCATGTGGCTATCACAATTTTTAAAATAAAAATCTAAACTTGACAGAAATGGAATAATTGTGTTTTTTCTTTTCTAACTAAAAGTTTAAAGTCTGATTCATCAATCTAGTCGTTTGAACATGCACAAAAAAAGATTTCTCAAAGAATAGCAATTTGCTGTTTCTGGTTCCTTATCTCTATTGTCTCTCTCTGTGTTTCTCTCTCGGTTATTCCATACATCCTTGTATGTACAATCCCTTTCCGATCAAACACTTTTTTAAAAAAAATTTCATTAACAAAGTTTATTATTATTTTAAGTATTTTAATGAGAATTACAGCTGTATATTGAAGGCGTGTAGTTTAATTATCAAAAAAAAAAGTTTCAATTCAATGATAATAAAGTAAATATCACGATCGAATGTTTCACATATAGTAACTAAGTATAGAAACAATGACAACACTATCGGGACCATGAATAACAACTGTATAAAAATAGTGTTATTATTTGTTTCTCTACAAAGTGTAACCCTTTCCTATCCTTTTTCCAAACATAGAGAAACAGTTCATTTTGTCTATAAACATAAATATCTATAATTTAAACTATACACGTGACATTGATGTGAATATTATGGTGTTAGATACTCATATTCTATATTTCACACTTAATTATAGATACATGTTGTATCTAGGCCAATGATAGTATGTATATATATATATGAATTTATCTCTTTGGTGAATGTGTGTTTCTATGTTTCACTTGTATGATAAAAAGGGATCATATTCCCAAAAATTTTATCCCATAAAGATAACTTTATAGTTTTTTTTTTTTTGACTTTGTCTATAATAATTAAATTAGATCAAACGTTTTTTCTAAGATCATAAATACATATGATATTGTATTATACTACTTTAATATACAAGTGTAAATAATAAATTTTGTAGTTTTAGACATATTCAGTAGATATTGTTTTATTTTTAAAACTAGTAGAAAAATAATTCTCAAATTTAAAAAAAATTGATGATCTAGGGAAACACAGAGAGAGAGAGAGAGAGATTATTATCATCTCTTAGCAACTAGATATTATTATTATATGAATAGTATTTATGATAGATACATAAAGTTCAATGGAATAAGTAAAGAAATGTTGAATATTATCAGAATAGGGATTTAAGGAGATTGTAGCAATTTTAATAGTTAGATTCATAAGTCAATTTAAACTAGATCATCATTGAAAACCTGAAATCTCTGGACAACCGTTTCATTTTAGTATGGGACTCCTCAACAGAGCGCATCCATGATCCCATCGCGAGAGATTCAAGGAGTCCCATTATAGAACGAGACGGTCGTCCAGTACTTCCAGCTTTTCCATGGTGGTCTATCTTCAATCGATTCATGATCTCAGTTATTAAAATTACTATGATATCCACAAAACCCCTTCTGATATTAGTTTAATAGTCAATTATATTTTTCAATAGGATGAAATTTCAGTTATGCAGTATCTGATTTTTGTATTTAAGAAAGATCAATAAAAATAGAAGTTGTACGTTTTCAGTGTACATCAATCAATAATTTTCAATCGGTACTTAGGTCTATTTTTAAATTAATTGAAACGATCACATTCAATCAAATAATACGGTACAGATAATTCGTTAACTTCTAACGAATATGGATTAAAACATCATCAGTAATGGAATGAAATATTGGTATTATACATTAAAATTACTCGATTATGAGAGCCAGTGAGTAATAAAACCATCTAAGATAAGGTTTCATTATTGATCAGATAACATATGAAATATTTAAAGTGAAAGACTGTCGAATATATCAAAATGTTTACGAAGTGTGCTACATCGAAATATAATAACACATATATCCATACTTTTTATACATCACCCTCACAGATCACCTTTTGTAAACTCACCAGATAGGAAATAAATAACAATACGCTACTAGTATAGAGGGATTTATACCTAGTTTAATTTTTCATCTGACTATCAGATGGGATATCAGCCTCATAGAGGTTTATAGTTTTTCGTTCCCCAGAGCAGAGTTCAACCAGTTGTAATGATATTTATACGGTTATCATGTTTTTAATAAAGTTCTTTTGACGTGATTGGTTTGCCAATTCCATCTCCAACATTCCTCCTTTATTCGAGTTTGAAACTGATATTCATCTAAGTATGATTCCCCATAGAGTTTTGTATCATTTACCATGAACCAATTAAGTTTAATTAATAATTTTAAGAAATCTAACAAGTGTTGAATATCTATCTATTTACTGAAATTGTTGAATTCTGTACTTAAAATTATCTACCCCTCCCCTATTTTACTATAACCAATAATTTAAACGTTTTTTTTTTTAAAGTTTTCTATAATCTGAACTTGGTATCTTGTTTTCTGTTATTAAAAATCATCTGACAAAGTTGATTAGACGTAACTACGCCGTGGTATCAAATAGAAAGAGCGCGCGCGAGAGAGAGAAAAAAAATAAGAATACTTAAACATATATGAATGTTTTTTATAGAGTTGAGATCATGAGTCAATTGAAGCTAGACTACCATGGAAAACCTGGAAGCACTCTATAAAATACTAAAATCTCCACAAAACCCCTTCTGATAATAATCAGGTGCTCACTAGTGACTGACTCCTTGAGGTATTTCCTGGAGTTCTAGTGAGAAGCAGTAACCGGTGGAGTTCAACCAGGTCTGTTTTGAGATAGGAACTCACTGATGACATTGGTGAATGGTTGCTCAATTTCATGAATCAGTTGAAGTTAGAAATTAACACCGTTGGATGCCAGCTCAGTGGTCTATCGGTTAAGGGCTTCGGCTCGAAACTGGTAGGTCCTGGGTTCGAATCCCGCGAGAGTGGGTTCGTGGACGCACACTGCTGAGGAGTCCCGTAATAGGACGAAACGGCCGTCAAGCAGTGCTTCCAGGTTTTCCATAGTTGTCTAGCTTCAATTGACTCATGATCTCAACTCTATAAAATACTAAAATCTCCACAAAACCCCTTCTGATATATGAATGTATATATTTCTATAATCCTATTTTGAACAAGTGAATTATTTATTATAATTCATTTAGGTCATTTAAAAAAATAAACAACACAAAAAAAGGGGAACATTTTTTCATAATAATTTTTAGGTGAATAAACAAATATTTATTTAATTACTGTGCCAAAAGAAGCGAATGGTTTAATGTATTGAATACTCTTGTTGACATTATTCTGATTATTTGTTGTTTTGTTTTGTTACATTTTTGTAAAAAAAAAAAAAAACAAGTGGAGAAGGTATTCTTGTCTAATCGAAATAAATAACATTTCTGGCTTTAAGCATGTAAATAAATATAGTAAGTAATGTACATGTACATGTACATTAGACATTAGATATCTACCATAATGGTTAAATATTAACTCATGAATAGATGAGATTTGATTATTTTATGTTTACATTGAATTAAAATAAGATGACTGATACATAATTAATTAATTACATCTGTTACCCCTAGTGGAGGAGTATAGGCCGCCCACTAGTATTCTCCATCCAACCATGTATTGGGCAATCCTTTCCAGTTTTTTTTCCAGTTGTTATTCGTCCTTTTCATATTTTCCTCTATTTTAGATGACTGATGAGGAATGCAAAAAAAAAAACCTGTTAAGATTTAAAAACAAATACAATACTGATTGAGTAAACAAAAGTTATTCGATCAACGTTAGGAACTGAAAAAAAATTATTGGAAATGAAGAAATGCTAATAATGAACTTAACCAATGTGTTCAATTATTAAGCTACTATGGCGTAGAAAAGGTTCATTTGAAGGTCATTGTTAACACTTAGTCGATTTAAACCTTTTAAAAATTGAAACAAACCGTGTCTGTTGTGAGACAGTTACTCACTGAAGACAATGGTGGACAATCGCGTAATATCGTGGATTGGTTGGAGTTAGACATTAACACCATTGGACGCCGGGTAAATGATCTATAGGTTAAGCGTTTGTGAGAGAGAGACCGAATGTCTTGGGTTTGAATCTTCCGTGCGGGGCTGTAGATGCACACTGCTGAGGAGTCCTATACTGGGACGAAACAGCCGTCCAGTACTTCCAGGTTTCTCAGGGTGATCTATCTTAAATTGACTCGTAGATTCAACCGTTAAATTACTAAAATTTTCATTCTGACAAAAACCATTCTTACTTTAATATTGAACATATTAAGATAATAATTAGAGAAATGAACTAAAGAGAGATTACTTATTATTCATATCATTGTTTTGTTTTTTTTCTTCTCTCTTTTAATTTAATTAAATAAAAGAATTTCAATTTATGTTCAACGAATAAATGTGGATCAACAAATTGTGAATGTAAAATATTTCAGCCTATTTTAAGTAATATACGTCAATGTACAAATTGTCATCATTCATGGACTTTACATGGTAAGTAATAAATTCAATCAATTATATTCATTTATCATGTTTGAATGAACAGATCTCATAGTTTACATTCACTTAGTATTGTTTGTTTGAATCTTCCCATTGATGTTTAGGACTACAATTGATCAGTCTCTTATCGATTTATGTGCATACTGTGCGTATTGCCTCTATATAGCATTAATTCACAAGCATTATAAGCAGAGATGGATAGTGACTATCAGTGGAATCCAGGTCGCGTGTTTCGTCCTATTCGGAACTCGATGGCGTAGTAGTAATAATTATAATAGTATTATAAAAAAACGCGACGGCGTTTGAAGTGAAAGGTACTGGTTTCGAGTCCCGAGGTGAACATCGACTCTGAGATGCAGGTATATTCAACTGAAAAGTCCCAAATAGGACGTAACACGCAACCTGGATTTCACTGCTAGCCACTATCCATCTTTACTTATAAAGTATTATCTTTTATTAACAAAATTCATCCTTAGTAGTTCACAACGAATCTTATTTTCAATAATATAGTTATCCATTTCTATCAAATTATAACTTCGAAAGTAAACTATTTCTTCTAACCAAATCAATACATGTTTTCTCAAGTTTCTTTACGATCTTTGGTACATTAAAATCTATTTTCTTCCTCTTTCTATTCAATGTACAACCATTTTTATGTACATTTAAAAGAAAAAAAGTAGTATGTATGTAATGTCGCATTTCTTGTTCAATTTTATGTCTTTTCCTTGTCTATATCACCTTAAACTCTATTAAGAAAGGTTACTTACTTCTTACTTACGCTTGTTATCCCTCATGGAGGAGCATTAAGAAAGGTAGGATGACAAAAAAAGAATAAAATTTCCATTGTTATCAACTGTTCATAAGGATATATATATATATATATAAGAATACTATTGACTAATTAGTATTAGGCATTTCGATCATAAACACATAGAATTCTATTTAACTAAATGAAAGAAGCTGTGAAAAGACAGAATATGAAATTCAAAAAAAATTTAGTAAAATAAATTAGCAGTAACACCATTACTACTACTAATTATTACTATAGTAATAAAATTTTTAGGACAATAGTAAAACAGAACACCTTTTTTTATTATTGGACATGGGATGGAAAGTGTGTAAAACGAAAAAGAAAAAAGGAATGACCAGATAACAATGTTGTTATTGACGATGATGATGATGATGTTAATGTTTTGTCAATTTTTGCGGAGACTAATGATGATTTACTAATGAATGAAGGGAGAGAATATAACATAGAAGAATTATTTTTTGTATTGATTATTTCTTACTGGATCATATCGATACTATTAGTTCTACTGCATAAGACTAATGTGTAAGGATGATTTCATCCACAAGGTAATTGTCAATAAATAGAGGGGAATGTATGAATTTATACACCTACACATATGTATACAAGCAAAAAACTGGACACATATATTTTATATTGTTAATAGACTGAATTGGACAATCAATTAGTCAGGTGTGAAAAAAAATTCCCTTATAACATATACAACTAATTTTTTCCAGTTAATGGTCACCAGTTTTTATTAACAGGTTAATTACTGACTTACTCTAGACACTACTGTTATTATGAACAACAGATATATATTAGACATTTATGTAATTAAAAAAAAATTAAAAATCGAGCTATAAAAAAAACAAACAAAGAATTATCAACAAAGATGGATGGTGATTAGCAGTGGAATCCAGGACGGGCGTTACGTCCTATCTGGGACTTGTCAGCTGGATGTGCCTGCATGCTGGAGTCGACTTTCACTCCGGGACTTGAACCAAGTACCGTTCACTTCGAACGTTATCGTGTTACTCACACAGCTACTGAATCCTGATAGCCACTTGCTTGTGCATGGGGTGAAGTTTAAATTCATTTTGTATTGTTTTTTTTTTTAAAGCTTCTCACTGATGTTTTAGGACTGCAATTGATCAATCTCTTATTGGCACATGTACCTCTTGTACGGAATACCTCGATATTGCCACCATTCACTATGACTTATAATGCTTGCGACTTAAGGCAATATTACAAAATATAAATTCTAAATGATTTGGAACTCTAATAGTGAGTGGGATATAGTAAAAACGCATCAATGTGTTTGGATTAAGTGACCAATATCTTCAATCCCTGTATATTAATCTTTTGAGACTCATCACTAAGTTCCATATGATCTATCAGTGATTTGAAACTTCGTCTATTCAGTAGGTGAATGAGCAAAACTGAGACTGAATTTGCTGATAATGTAACTAACACTCAGTAGAACCCAAATAAATATAACTGAATTTCGAAATAAATATTTTCCCACTAAATGATCGTTTAATAGTAAACAATGGGATTTTATCTAGTCAAAAAGAGCCGACTGAATTCCACTGAAGAAAATATGATATTAGGTGATTGGAGATATTTGACAGGTTCGAAGCTAGTTAATACTGTAGTGAATGATAACTTAGGTGGGGGGGGCAAATTATTGTTTAATTTACAATTATAGAGTGCTTTGGTAAAATATGAAGACCATATATTAAATACTTCATTTGCATACCTTTCATCACTTTTCTCTTACAAACCTCATCATTCCTTGATAGTGACTTACATTAAGTCATCAAACGCCAGAAGTACAACATTTCTATTCATTTGGATCTATAAAATCTATATTTATCATTGATTCAGTGTGATATTACACTTAGTATAATATCCTTTTGCAATGATATAGATTGTATCAAATCACTATGACATTCTTTCAAGGAATTACCAATGAAAGTAAATCTGTATATACTTGTGTGTATCTATTCGTGATTGAATATTTTCTATTTGTATATAAAATAAAATTTCGTCTATCATGAATGTTTATCTTGTTTTTATTTATTTATTTAAACACATAAATATTGGTACAAAGGGGTACTAGATATGCATGCGCCACACAAATCTCATTTGATTCGTGTGAGGGATGTGATACCGCCCAGGTGCTCAAACTGAAGCAGGTGGTTTTCTTGAGGGGCCACACCCGGAGCCTTTGACCTAAAGATCTGATCCACAAGGCAGTGGAGCATCGTAAGGAGATGCAGTCTCATGGAAGCCGGTGACCAACGATTGACTCATACGCCATTTGTTCCCTCAAGACACTGGAGTCCATGTGCACCATTGGTTTGGAATCAGGGTTTTCCAACTCCCCTAGATGGACTTTCCATGTCCACCAACCCGGTTAAAGCACCGGACATTCGCTTTCAATCCTCTCAATTTCGTAAACAACAGTAATGCTACGAGAAGGCAGTGAGTAGGACTTCCGTGGCAAAGGCTATATACGTGTGGTCATGTGAGAGCATTTCGAGAATGAATGTAGACTCTCCCCACTCTCGGCCGTACCAAGGCATTTGGGAGCGTTTATCTCGTTGCTTTACATTAAATTACATCAAACTCTGTATACAATTATAATACATTGATAATTTAAATTATTTTCCAACTGTATTCAATAATATCGTTGTTTTTTTTTCTTTGAAATTCTTTTTCTTCTTGTAATTAGTCCTACCGAAATTAACAAATTTACCAGTTTATTTCGAATTGAATAATTCATCAAATAGTATAATGTTGAATGCAACTTTAGAATTATTAAGCATGTCACTATTTGGTTGTCAAGCCATACCGATGAGAATTAAAATTTTATTAGATCGTTTATTATCTGGTCAATTAGCACATGCCGATGTTGTTAGATTATTGTTAACATTTGGTTGGACATTTCAAGATTATAGCCGCGGTTATATGTTAACTGTAAGTTTAGACATGAATTGATTTTTTCAATCTTTTCAAAATTTATTGAAATTAATACTATCTGTCTATCTAATGTATATGTATATTAGTTTTTATCTAACTATGTGGGTACCTACATTTTTGGGATATCATGCTAAGTCGAAACAATTGTTCAGTTTGCTCTGACTTTCAATGAGTGTTTAGATAAATTTCGTCTACAACATGAATAATCTCCAAAATTTTTCTATCCTTATAATCATCAGTTAACTTCTGAATTTTACTAATCAACAATGGACCGATGAGAACGGTTACTCATCGAGAAAGATTGACTATCTCAACTGAATCAAAAGGGCTATCGGTTGATTGATATTTCTTATCATATATGTCGGTGGAAATGAGACAGTATGGTTCGAAAATTCACCTACCATAAAGTAATGTCTATATACAGAAACTTTTATCAATAAGTACGTCTTGTGAAATTTTAGCATTTCAATACACTTTCTAACAACTAATCTTAAATATCTATATCATTTCAATTTAAGTCACTTGATTGGAATTCATTAATGATTATTTCAGTTTGTAAAGAGTAAGTTTTCCAACTGAATATTTTTTCCAAATTGTCAATTTTACTTGAAGTAAGTTTTCTACTTGTTCGTTGACTTGACTGTATCAAATTTTCTGATCTTATATTTAGGGTGAGACTAATACTTTTCATGCTGACACAAAAATCCATTTTGAAATAATTATTATCACGAGTTAGACAAGATATTGAGAATTATGGAACACATGATGTCATTTTAATTCTAGTTTATGAGTTGCACATTACAATTCACTCATGATTCTATCAAAGATCTAAACCAAAATATTTAAGTTTCATGAGGAGCGCGTTATCATTTTCAGGGAAGTTTAATAGTGTCAAATGTGAGGCAGTTAGTCATCAAAGACAATGGCAGATGGTCACATAATATCGAGTAGTGATTGATGTTAGACATTAACATGGATGACCGCTAAGTGGTCTAGTGGTTAGTTGTCCGAACAAGGTCGAAGGCCCTGGAATCGAGGTCTGTGTGCGGGATCGTGAATAAGCAATGCTCAAGAGTTCCGCATTAGGATAGAAAGACTGTCCAGTGCTCCCACGTTTCTAATTGTGATATGAAATTGATCGGTTTATGGTCCCAAAGAAACTCAACAATCTTTACAAGCTTATAGTGATATAACTGTCATAATTTTATCAGTTTGAATTACTAGATTATTGTTTAGTAGAGAAAAAACAAAGGTTTTCATATTGGTAACCATAGTTTTTATTTGTTTAAATAAACTAACCGATACTTATCCGTAATGAAATCGTCTTATTTAACTAGCTTTACTATTAATATTATCTCTTCATGAACAATAAATTTGACACTCTTTTCAATTTTATTATATTACAATAGTTATTACTGATAGGTATTTAGATATTCTGTAATTGATGATGAAACTTTACCTGGTAGGATGGAATGATTAATCTTTAAAATCATAAGAATAATTTGAAACAATTAGATCTCCTTAATATAATGGAAAGATCAAAGCTGATTTGAAAAAAAGTGATATATTTTTTTCAGAAGGGGTTTTGGTGGGTATTATCGCAACTTTATTATTTGAGATCATGATTCACTTGAAGCTGGACCACCATCGAGAATCTGGAAGCACTGGGCGGCCGTTTCGTCCTATCGTGGGACTCCTCAGCAGTGCGTATCCGCGATCCCACCTCGCGAGATTCAATTCCAGGACACATCGGTCTTGCACACAAACACCTAACATCTAGACCGCTGAGCCGGCATCCAATGATATTAATATCTGACTTTAACTAATCCACAAAATTGAGCGACACATTCACCATTGTCTTCAATGAGTTACTATCACACAACAACAGACCCGGTTGTTGTAGTTGGTGATCTAGCTTCAATTGACTCATGATCTCAACTGTAAAAATACATTTTTTTATCGATATATTTCAAATGATCTAATTATACATATCGTTCTTAATGATATGATATTAGTATGAACTAAATACAATGTCAATTAAATACAACATATTAACTGAAATAAACAATGAGTTCACTTCTAATTAGTAACCAGTTATTACAAAAAGACAAATTTAAATTTAATTGATTATTTTTCATAGTTGAAATCATGAGTCAATTGAAGCTAGACCACCATGGAAAACCTGGAAGCACTGGACGACCGTTTCGTCCTATTATGGAACTCCTCAGTAGTGCGCATCCACGATTCCGCACTCACGAGATTCGAACCCAGGACCTAGCTTCAAATGACCCATGATTTCAACTATGAAAAAATACTGAAATCTCCACAAAACCCCCTCTGATTAATTGATTATCTTTTGAACAGGATAAAGTGTACAAATCCTACACTTATAATCAACAAATAATAGTTTATAGAAATTAATCACCATGGCAACGTTTTATCAAATATTATTTACATTATAAACATTTTTTGTTGTTTTAATAATTAATCTTACAAAATTAATTATTTAAAAAAAATATTTTTCCTTTGATCCATTTTTATATTATAGAATCCAAATGGTACATTAAAAGATCATTGGGAAATGTGTAATATAGATGAAGAAAATTTAATTATTCAACAATTTCTACGTTTTCCTGAAACTTGTCAATTAGCCTATTTAATGTTATCACAAGGATATAGTCAAAAAATTCAAAGTAGATTATTAAATTTAAATCCAATGATTAATCGAAATTTTACAAATCAATTATCACAATTGGGTAATAGTAGTAGTAATAGTAGTGGTATTATTACTGCGATTACTACTAGTAACAGTAGTACTATTGCTACTACTACTACTACTAATAATAATAATAATAATATCAGTAATACCGATAGTATCAATGTCAATAATAATCATATATCACCTGATCCAACTTATAAATTAAAGTCGGACATAAAATATGAAAATAAGAAATCACAAGATATCACTTTAGGATTATTATCTCCAACAATTACTGAAATATCACCAAACAGTACTAGAACATTAACAATTTCATCATTTTCCAATAGTTCCTCATCATCTGTTTCACCAGCTAATGAGAATAAACAACGTAATCCTACTGGTAGTTTACTTAATTCACCAAACAGTATAAATAATACTCCATATAGCAGTAGTGATAGTAATAATAATAATAATAATAATAGTATGAAAAAGAATAAAATTAATAATTCAAATGAATTCTTAGAAATAACTAGAAATGATATTGAATTCGATCCAGTACATCGAATGACTGGTAAAAGTAACTGTAAACGAATGAAATCTAATGGGAATGAACAAAACTTTGATTTATTAATTGGAAACAATGGTAATTCATTGAATACTAACGTAAACAATAATGATAATAATAATTATAATAATCCATTTGTTACTGCAATGGCGGCGGCTGCTGCAGCTGCTGTCAGTGGATTTCCATTACCTCCTAATATTTTCAATAGTTTAAATCCATTCTTAAATAATTCAACGTTGAAACATTCAAAATCTCTTTTAGATTCAAAATTATTAGATATGAAATTAAATGAACAATTATTTCTGAACAAAATATATGATAAATCCGATGTTCATTGTTCAATGGAAGAGAGAAAACATGTTGATCCTTCTAAATTATCATTAACAATATCATCAAATCAGGATATTTTATCAAATAGTAATTTAATGAATTTTTCACCATTTAATTCATCAACATTTCCAGTGACATCACAATTAGCTAATGCATTAGTTGCTGCATCTACATTTCATCCGAAACATTCATCATCAATAATATCACCATCAATATCATTAAATTCATCTTCATCATCTTCAACATCAACGGTAGCAGCGGCAGCAGCAGCAGTGGCTGGAGCATTAGGAACACTTTCAACTATTACTTTAAACAATACTGCAATGTCACTAGGAGCCTTCACGACGGCAACAACAACAACTTCAACGTCAATGGCTACAGCAACTGCAATAACAACAGATTTTCCGACATCTTGTAATCTCAACAACAATTCTCCAAATGACTTGATGAATATAAATATATGGAATGATGTCCAAATACCATTTAAACTAAATAATAACAATAATCAAATTCCATTAGGCCAAAATCAAAGTATTTTAAATGAACAAACAATCCCACTTCATTCAGCTGATACTAGTTTATTTGGAGTGAATAATTGGTTACCGAATACCTTACATAATTTATCTACACTGAATCAAGGTAACTTATTTATACCGATTTGAATTAGAAAGATATGCACATCTGTTTTACAGTAATGATTTGCTTAAAATTGTTTTGATGACTTTTAGTTTAAATAGTTGAATTCATGAGTCGATCTAAGCTAGATCACCATCGAAAGCCTAGAAGCACTAGACAACCGTATTGTTTCAGTATGGGGTCCCTCAACAGTGAGTATCCACTATCCCATATGTGAGAGTCGAACCCGCAACCTTCGGTCGCGCGCGTGAACGCTGACTCAATGGTCTATATTTTAAGCATCCGCGTGCGTGACTAAAGGTCTCGAGTTCGACTCCCACATATGGGATAATGGGTACGCACTGTTGAGGAGTCCCATACTAGAATGAAATGGCTGTCTAGTGCTTCTAGATTTTCAGTGGTGATCTTGTTTAGATCAACTCATGAATTTAATTATTAAAATTACTACAATCTCCAAAAACTCCCATCCTGACTTTTAATTTACTTGAAAATTGTAAAAATTATTTCATCCTATATTAAAAATTTATAGGAATTCTTCAATAATCAATTATTTCTAGGAGTAAATATTGGTTTTGAGAAATCGAACAGAGGAACACATTTCAGTGAATGAGTCTGAAATGGCTTACAGTTGATCATCACTTCTCCATTTCAATAATAAAGCATTATGTTTCTGATAGATTACTGAGGAAATGAGTAAATAGTTCACTTCATGAATGAGTTTTCTGGTTTAATTATTTCCAAATGAAGTGCATTGAAATTATTTACTACGAATAGGTGTGTTCATGTGATTAGGTTAATTTGATAACAGTTTTGAATGTTTCAGGTTGTTATAAAAATTTCTTAGATTATTCAAGTAACTTACCTGATTCAAAAAGCAAACTACGATTTAGATTGTATTCTTTGCAAGATATTTAATGCTTTAATTGCCAAATTGAGGTTTCGTCTATAAAAAGATTCATCAGTTGTTTACAAAATATGTAGTCTTAGAACAATTTTAATTTACCTAAGAAGTTAGTATAATATATAAACAAAAAGAAATACATGTGCCCACACATATACTAGGAAAAAATGGGAATTAGGTCAATAGGTATAATTTCCTTAATGTATAAACACATTCACTATCTCTTATCTTCTTTCTCCCTTTTAACACTTCATATGCATATTAAAACAAAAAAAAAATCTCTGAAAATTCTTTCAATAAGATCGCATAAACCTTTATCTTTCCAGTATTAACAAATTGATCTTCTCAGGCCATAATAATAATGTCAATGCAATATATATGTATAATTAAGATAACCTAATAACAAGTGGGTTTACAAGAAGCCAGTGGTGGATAAATATCTGTGCTGATGTGAGGCAAAAAGATTGTTTTGATATGATAATTACTATTATTATTATTATTATTATCGTTATATCGTCCATAATTACCAGCTAATTATCATAAGAATTACTAGAAATCTCATGAAGACAGTATACAATAATAAAGAAATATCAAAATAATGAAGAAGGTTAGGTTGATTCGTTAGTTTATTAGTAAATGGATTGATTAAAAAAACAAAACATGTAATGGTTACTTTTTACATCACTTTTTTGTTTTCCTACCAACATTAAAATAAACAATTAAACAACTATAATAATCATAATAATAGACATGGATACAAATCACAAAATTCCATAATGGCGTCTATTAATATTCGATCGTTTATGAAGAAAATAGGGGAGGGGGAAATACTAAGATAAAATTAATAGGATAAGTCAGTATGATTTATTATCATTATTATTATTATTAGTAGTAACTGTTTTAAATATAATTGAATATAGAGGTTAGGATGTTACTATTGAAAAGGTTATGAAAAGTTTAGTTTTAAGGTGTTTTGTCCAACAACAACAAAATATGTGGAAATTAACAGTTTTTATCATTTATCGTCTATATGGCTCCATGAATCATACATTCTTCGATATTCAGCACCTTCGTTCTTACTAATTTATAAAAAATACTATTTAATTGAACTATATCGTATAAAATATATATTTCTTAGCATGAGGGAGGAAGGTATGGAGATTAGTGAATTTTATAATGTACATGATGGAGTGACTATAGTTAGAAAGTGAAACATTGAACAGCAGTTTTGTTGTAGAACAAGATTTCTTGCATCGAAAATTTTCCATGCTGTTATTGGAGACAAACTACGTGAGGTAATTCCTGAAGTATTAGTTAGTGAGAAACCATGATAATTGAAGTTTAAAGTTATCTGGAGTGTGATAGCTATAGCTAGTGACGAAAGACATTGGTCTCACAATATTACCAGTCGACTGAAGTTATCATGTAAACTATCGGGTCACAGTTTTATGGTCTCAAAGTTAACAACTTGACTCAAGTCCCCTAGACCACGGGTTCAATCCCCGTTAAGAACGTGGATATTTATTATTAAACAGTTTCATACTAGGATAAAATATCCATCCTTTACTTTGTGATTTTCAGTACATCTCTAATTTAAGTAAGTCCATGATTTGAAAATACAAAATAAAAACATTCCACAAATTAAATAAATATTGGACTAAATAGTTTTAATCCTATTTTATTTATTCTTTTATTCTTTTGAATCGATAAATGAAAGTTTAGAGATTTTTGGAAACTTTTTCTACATCAGAAAAAAAAGCAAAAATTCTTTAATCCCAAACCAAGTTTTGTCTTATTCCAATAGAAAGACACACTTCATTTTGTATTTATTAATAAATATCTACAGTCAAATACTATAGGTAATCACTGGTTAAATAAGTTAATTGACATAAAGGAATTCCATCTGTTCATACAATGGTTAAGCAGTTCGGACTGATTAATTGTTCAATAAAACTGTTTGAAACACATAGTAGTGGTGTAATGAACGAACACTCAGGTGGAGACAACCAATTTATCATTTAATACAAAATAACAGAATACCTTGGTAGAAAAGATTGTGAACCATACACTGAATACTTCATTTATAAATCTCCTATCAATTGTCCTTCACATGTTGTATAATTCTTCCAGTTCACAATCCCTTTCTATTCTCTTTAACTCGATCTTTCTAGCCTTATGCTATCAGGTTTTCCACTTCCAATTGTTGTTACATACTACTTATGTCTGTCGACATAAGTAGTATGCACCGTAGTAGTAGTAGTATGAATCGAAATTGTAAACAACAAAATTTCAATCTCACTGATCAATAATCTGAAATGTTGATATCTACTTTAGTTACTTTGTCGTACTGTTGTGGTGAACGAAACACGGGTGGGGACAATCAAATGTATTTAAGCACAAATTACAGACTATCTCACTAAATTCTGATAACCAGTAAACAGTTAATTTGCAAACTGTCAATCAATTGTCTTAATCTTAACTGTTCCTTCTGTAAATATCAGTCCATCTTCTCTGATTTCATTGTTCATGCATTTTCCTACCAATTGCGCGTCATTTCAATTCTTTCCTTATCGATCTTCTGCCAAAATACATTCTATGCCTGACCATCACCATATACTACTTATGTGAATATAAGTAGACCACACCACACTGTAACTAAAGTTAATTTAATAGATGAAGAGATGATAATCCAATGTTATATAAGATAACTATCTGAAATACAATATGGTTGAACTCTATAACTTTGAATAAATAATCATTACTAATCTACAAAATTCTGTTGAATATTATCCTGTTATTCTTTCCTTTGTTTATTTGTTTACTTTAGAACAAATCAATTCAGAATTGATGCTTTTCAATTCAACTGCTCAAAATTTATCTACGAATTCATTGAAATCCAAATATTTCAATGAAAATTATTTATATCAAACTAAACGTCATCAGAATACATTATCGAATTCCATGTTAACGTCAACAAATAATACAATACCAGTATCAACTCCTCCTCCTCATCATCATCATCATTCATATAAGATAACAAAAAGAAAATATGAAAGTCATCGACAGGAATTTGTGAAAACTCGACGAACTCATACTTCAGTATCAACAACATCAGCAACGACAACAACAATGTCAGGGGATCAAATGAATTCAAATTATTCAACTTCCAATATGAATTCATTAAATGAACATTGTAATGAAAGTAATGGTTATAATTTTGCACGAAATAAAAAACGTGTACTATGTACAACATGTAAAAAATCATTTTGTGATAAAGGTAATACATTTTTCATAAGTGATTATGAATTATTACTAATGATTACTACATTGTGTTATATACTATTAACCATATATACTTTTATCCTACGATTTAAACTGGAGAAAATCAGAATCATTTACATAGTGAGATGGTGGAGACGTTTTGTAGCTCATATGGATGATTTTGATGAAGTTTTGTTATCTGAACTGGATGGTTTGGTTATGGAGCTCTCATCGTTCTTCTAAATGACATCAGCAGCACAAGCATTAAGACTTCTAATTGAAGTTTATGCTGATGATGTTGTTTAGAAGAACTATGAGAGCTCCATAACCAAACCATCCAGTTCAGATAACAAAACTTCATCAAAATCACTTACGCAGTATGTTATAATGAAAGAAATATACGCAATAATTTAATCAATATTAATATCATAAGAGATATTAGTGAGTAAGAGATGATCAATTCTTTGAACTGGTTTTATTTTAAAGATAGAACTTTAATTTCATCAAGATTGTCCATGTTAGAGGAAAATAGTGAATATTCTAATGGTTATTCATATGTACTTTTAATGACGAAGGTAGAAATCTCTAGTTAACTTCAGTAGATAAGTGAAAGATATATTAGCCTAGCAGCGAGAATCTTTCTACATATTTCTTGTTATTAATAAAAGGAATAAAAAGAAAGAAAAAATGAACACATTTATCTTATTAGGATACTGTAGTTCATAATGATCAATATGAACAAACGGAATGGATCTACTAATGAAATGTAAGTAGACGACATAAGGACTTTATGGAGATAGTCGAATTTTATGGTTTACACCATAAACTGTCCCTAATCGGACAATCATTGAAAACGAAGAGGCATCGGACAATTGTGATGTCCTAGTATTAGACTTCTTAGCAGTGTAAATTCATGACCTCACCGGTGATTGAAATGAGGACCTTCAAATTACTCAGCGAGCGAAGTCATTTGATGGTGTAAACTATGAATCCAAGTTAGACAGGATAAAATGATTCAAATAGTTATAATAAAGCCTTATATTTTACAGTATTAGAACATTTATCCTGTTTAATTCCATCTCATTTAATCTCATTTATAACATCACTTTTAAAATGAAATTTCATAGAGTAGTGGTTTAAAAAATTTGGATCACTCGACTTTTAACTATTAGTTGGCAAGTTAGACTCTTGAAATACATACTTCGTTTTGTGTGGTAGGATACCATTATTAACTTTAACGTAAACAGTAGTGTTCAAAGTCGAATATACATCCTTGTACCTGATGAATAAATAATAATGAATCAAAAATATGAAATAATGAAAAGATTTACTGATTTAAAATCTTTATATATTTATATATATTTACGTATATTTCAATTTTAGGAGCGCTTAAAATTCATTATAGCGCAGTTCATTTAAAAGAAATGCATAAATGTACAATTAAAGGTTGTAGTATGTGGTTCAGTTCTAGACGAAGTCGTAATCGTCATTCAGCTAATCCAAATCCACGTTTACATATGGCACATTCCAGTAAAAAACTTCCAGAAAATGCAACAATTGTTGATGATGGTAGTGGTAAGTAAAATTTGATTTTACAGTCCTATTGTTATTGTATTCTTAGTTTAAATTATAAAAAATGACTAACACAATAAAAAATGGATGCTATCTCAATTGTATAGACTAAAGTCCCTGGGTCTGATCCCGACTGATGAGGTTGTGAATATGCACTACTGAGGAGTCCCATGCTATGACGAAACAGCGGTTAAGTGCTTTCTGGTTTTCCAATCATTATCTAGATAGGATCTCTCCATGATGTTAACTATGGAAAACCAAATATCTACATCAAACCCTTACAATAAACAATAAGGTCATGATGTTTAACTATTTTTCGTTTGCTTTCAGTTTCACGAGATACGTTTCGCTTCATTTCCCGCTTAATAGATTTTAAAACAAATGTTATTAGAATTCAAGATTTTAATTCCCTTCATCATAATTTGTCAGTCTATCAATCAGGCGATGTATCATGTTTGAAATGCTAATTAACCAATCAGTATTCTTCTGGTTTAGTCATCAGTAATGATTAAATTACATATACCAACAATTATACAACAGTGCCAAGTCACTTTAACTAGTTTTTGAATTGTATTGTGACCGATAGAAGTCACTTATTAATAAGGACTGAAAATATGAATGATATTGGCTTCTATTTCGTGAGGTTAACAGTGGATCGCCGACTACAAACAATAGGTATCCTTTCCTAACAAGTGTTTACCAGTATCAGACTTTGGTTCAAGGCTATATGAAGATCTTTTTAAAGCAGCTATCCAAGGAGTGAACAAAATCCATTGAAATGAAAAATGTATATTTGAAAACTAAGACAATTAGGCGGGAATGAACTGAAAACTGAAATTATAAGTTGAGTTGTGATAGGAATTTTTATTAGTGGCTACCAGTTTCCTAATCTGATGTTCGACTCTGTTATGTCTCGTAGGTTGAATGCTTTATTCGGATCCTAGCTACTCGGATAACCCCAGGCTAGCACTACTCAGCGACTTGAAAGACCAGAGAAAAGACACGAGTATCAGAGAAGCACTTTACTACAAGGTTCATTTATGTACAGAAAAAACAGGGGTTTTATAGTAATTAAAAAGACCTTGAGATTCCATAGTAGCAATATGTTTAACAGCCAATCAGGACCTCATTGTTTTAGTAGCATAGCTTCTAACTAATCGCTGATTGGTTGGGCTCTTTATGAGCCTCTCTGGAGGCTCTGATAGAGTTTATTGTAAGCCGACCTAACAGACTCCTAGAATAAAAATTAAAAAATCGCCCGTTGAAATTCTTCCTCTACTCAGATTACCTCTCAGATTTAGCTATGATAGCTGCTTCTTTTTAACTACTTAAAAAAGAATTCGTAATATGTTGTTCAGTACCCTAAAATGGTTTTCTTTTTTGTTTTTTACTTTTGAATTTTAATACTGTTGCATATAAAGAAATCGTTTTTGTTTCCTTTAAATATTTCTATTTAGGCAAAGTAATAGGTAGACGTAATCCTCTGCCTAATTCAGTGTTGAATCCTCCATTATTACCAATTATTACTACGACATCGTCAACAATTAGTGCTAATTCTACATCTTATGGTGAATGGACAAATGAATTCAATGATTCTGTGCACATGAAAAATTCAACAACAAAGTATAAATCATCAACTAAGAGTATTTATTCAACAGGTCGACGTAGACGTGATAGATCTAATTTAAATGATTATGTTAATTGGCCAAAATTATCAATGGATTCACTAAGTCATACGTCAAATGATAGTCAACTTCATTCACCTCATTCTTCTCGTTTAAATTGTCGTCAATCACACAACAATCACCAACAACATCGTCATCATAAACAACATTTAAACTCATGGAAATATTGTAATACTGAAACAAATTCTGATGTTGAAATCAGTAATAATGATCTTTGGAATAAATCACAATATGTTAAAAGTATTGATTCCGGTGTTAATAGTAAACATAAAGACAATAGACAAGGTTATATATCGAGTAATAATAGTGAATTCGATGGTGATAACGATGATGATGATGACGATGACGATGATAACGAGGGAGAGGATGATGAAGAAGGTGTCTTAATTCCGGATGGAATTAGTTCATATGCTGACGAAAATGATGATTACATAACAACAAATAATTCAGAACATAATCTAGAAGTTAGTATTAACAGTGAAAATGATAATGATGAGATTATTAATGTTGATAATACAGATGAACAAGAACAAAACTTAAAATCTCATTTAACGATAACATCTCCAACTAGTACCAACAGAATTAATGAATTAAAAGTAATAACTGATGCCGATGAAGTTGGTGAGATATTGTTAGATGAACATTATTCCACTAAAAAACATTCAAATTATAAATTGCCAACATCAGACTTTTCAGCCGCTTCATTGGCTCAATCACCAAGTCATCACATTGATAATATTGATAGTTAAATAAATGAAATCAAACAGATCAAGTTTTTTTCAAGTATAAAATCGATCCAAAAGATCTCAGAATTCATTTATTTGCAAACATTAACCTCTTTATACTTATGATGGAAACAATAAGAGTCTGACTTGGAACAGTCTACATACGTATATTCAACTATTGCCAGACCCTGCTCGACTTTGTCTAGTCACAAAAATATGACAAATGTTGCAATAATATATCACTTATTATTTGTCTAACCCTTTTTTCTATTAATTTCTATGATTTGTAAATAAATTTACATGACTTCTTTTCTTCAATCTTTTATTTAATTTATATGAATATAATGTAATTCAATTACAGTTTGTCTTATTCCTCTTTTTGGGAATGAGTGGGATAATGTGAAAGATTTTTGTATATATAACTTCCGGAAGTTCGTACAGATAGTTGAATTTTATGGTTTGCATCATGTACTGATACATGTTAGACAACCTGTGAAGACCAGGAAATACTGGACAGCTGTTTCGTCCTGTTTTGCAGGCTATAAAATTTCGCATATGTATTTTACTTACTCATAAGTATGTAAATTGTGTAGTCCCTCTGAAATAATGAATGTTAATGTTGTGTTTTCAATACCTAGTGAAGTTGTTCCACGTTTATTACAGAGTGCCGAGTAGAAGTTTTGAAAACAAATCATGATAATAATTAAAGATTTTTCGAACGTATATATAATCGGAACTTGTTGTTAAATTTAAGTCAATGTGATCTAATGATATTATGTAGAAGGGGATAGTTGTTTACTGAACAAGAACATGGGTAGGAACAATCGAATGTATTTAAACAGAAATTACAGACTCACTAAATTCTGATATCCATACAGTCAACAGTTAATTTGCAAACTATTAATCAGTTGTCTCAACCTTGATTGTTCCTTCTGCAAATATCAGTCCATCTTCTCTGATTTCATTGATCATGCATTTTCACACCAATTGCGCTTCGTTCCTGTTCTTTTCTTATTGATCTTCTGCCAAAATACATTCTATGCCTTACCATCATCACACACTACTTATATGGATATAAGTAGACCACACCACATTTGATCAAATATTTCCTTTATTAATGGCTCATTGAGTGAGTTTACTATCTTTGTACTTACACTGAATTAATAACTCTATTTTAAAATAAGCATAAACCATGTTGCTGGATGTTGCATAGTTCCATGCAATTATACGGAAACTCAATTTTAAGTGGAGTGATCCTCTTTATTCATTCATTTTAAACACACTTCACTTAGTTTTACATCAAGAAATGATTCATAAAATCTGATAGATTGTTGTATAAAAACATAAACTTCATTTTAATTTTTTAGGATACATTTAAGTAATCATTATTTTTATTAATAATGATAGAAAAATTAATTAGTTGCCGTCTCAATAATATGATGAATGTTTTACATAAAAATGTAATTTTATATAGTTGAAATCGTGAGTCAATTGAAGCTAGAGCACCATCGAATACTTGGAAGCACCGGATGGTCATTTCGTCCTATTGTGGGACTCTTCAGCAGTGCTCATCCACGATCCCGCCTCACGAGATTCCAACCCAGGACCTATCAGTCCTGAAAATGAAATTATTTCCTTAAGATTATACCCAATAATAATTCTATTGACTACAGAACTTAACTAACCTTAAATTTTCGGTAAAAAAGCATGATTACCTAAAAGAACTAAAAACAGAAGGTACTGTTACTTATTACTTTGAATCAACTTGAAAACAGAGAAGTTCAAATTCAACTACTAAATGAAGCTTGAATTTTCTTCAGATAATAGATCAGTTCAGTAAGCAATAACATTGTAGGAATCTGATTTCAATAATGTATAGTGTATAGTCTGACAATAGATGAATAATAATAATGGTCATTATGAACAATACATTTAATAAATTCTTGTTACTATGATTACTCCTTGTTCTATCTCCAGATTTCAATTCCCTTATGCTTGTGATGTGTTAATCGTTTAATTTTATTAGGTAATCGTCACTCTTTATTACACTATTCATTTTAATTCAGACTATCAATTATACATTCACACAATCTACCATAACTAAACCAATCATTTGATTAGATAGTGGCTAGTAGTGGAATCCTAGACGCGCGTGAATTAAGTCTATATCGAAGCAATATGCACAGTATGCTTATATGCCAATTAGAGACTGAGCAGTTGCAGTCCTAAACATCAATGGGAAGATTCAAACAAACAATACTCATTGAATTTAATCATTTGATTATTCAGTGTCATTTATTAATTTATGTAAACTTTTTCTCAACTTGTCAGTTTCTATTAGCAGATTACAGAGAGGGAATGAAGGATATTTGTTGGAAAAGGAATTTATTTATCTTCTTCATGTTTGCTTCATGTTTATTAACTGTATAGTTTATTCAGCTCTGATAGGTATCAGAAATCAATTAAAATTAGATAATAATTGATTTATTTAATCACCAAAGCATATGATCTGTTCTACAAATTCATGAACTAGCTTAATGAGATTGTGGTCAGACTATAATTTATGGAGGACATTCGAGTGACTTTAAATTGACTTTAAGAATGTTCACCAACTTACTAGAGCTAAATGACGTTTATAAACCTGTGTGAAGAAAAAAAATTATGATCTACAGTTGATGGTTAGAGTTAGGAACTAGAGTTAGAGTTTTCATCACGAACTGATATCAGCTAAAATGTAAAAATGTTATTTAGCCAAATAGGTGAATCAATTTCCTGCCAAAATCCAAGACGTGTTATCCCAAATCTGATTGGTTCGTCCACAAATTATGGTCTCGTCCATTGATTACCAATTCGATGTATGGATAATTGTTGATGAACAGAATTGAAATGACTGAATTATATGCAAGATACTGGAAATATATGTCCGGTTAGGAAAATAGTTTGAGAAATTGTTTCAAATTTACTAACAACTAATTAAAAACTGAAAAGAACTATAGGCTTTATTAAACAAAAGAACTTTCAACCTTCCGCTTTATTTGAAATTTTTTTATTTATGGATGACAAGTCGTGGTTCGACAAGTAAATCATCTAGCCTAACGTCCGACTGTTTCATTTGAAGTTAGCTTAGATTATGCTTCAATCTAAATAATACTGTTATTTTGTTCTAGTATAAAATTATTACCCAATGTCTCTATCAGGGATAAAATTGAAGATATACAAGCCACATGGCTAGAGAGTTAACTTAAGATCACTGCGTTAGCTTCTGGCGGTTCAAATTCCTACGTAATTATTTTCAAGTCCTCTGACTGAAAGTTTAAATAAACAAAAATGAGTTTAAACTAGTCAGTTAATAATTCTCAATCATATTACTGAATTTTCAGATACAAACTGATTTCCATATCAAAAAGTATGATCTACCTACAGTTTAATATCAGTTTGCTGGAAATAATTACTAGGAAGCTAAAAGTATCAAAATTTTTCACTTATCATAATTAGGTAAACAAAAATACCGAATATCTAAAATTCACGTCTTGTCGGAGATACTTCCTTTAGTGATTACATAAGAGATTTATTATTTTGTATTCGCACCCCATATATTTTCAATCATTTTCCACTTGAATGAAACCAAAATATATTTTTTCAGTCCACATATAGAAAACAAATTTAGCGGTTTATATCTAATGACATTTAAATCAGTAAATATCACCTCTCTACTGATAATAAACATTTAAGAATGAATTCATTCACCAATACTGAATACAGAGTAGAAAACATTCGGAAGAATAGTCTGAACCTGAAAATTGATAAGTACCTGGTAAAGATAACATCTAAAACCAAAACACTGTTGACAGGTCCACTGATAATCAGTAATCAAAATAAAAAACGTAATTAATAATCTGTAAACTAAAATTAAAGCTAAAGATTTGATAAATCTTTACCATCACAAGACTTTATTTAAGGATGCTTTTTGTACTACTTACGAGTAGGCAAAAAGTTCAGCAAAATTAAATTACCCTAACTCATTTGGAAGGATTTATGGCATATATAGTTAGTAATGCTGAGTATTTATTTTCATTTGAATGAGTTTGATGATATCGTGCAAGAAGTATGAATCCATTACCATCTTCGTAACTGATGGAATACCATAACTGTTCTAGAACAGTGGTTTAAAAAAAATCCCTCAACTAATCTGAAATTTTAATGTATTCCATTATTTTGTTTATTTTGAAATGAAATAATTTCATGATGTACAGTTGAAAGAAATAATAAAATGATCATTTCACTTGTGGCGTATGCTGGGTAATTTTTAAAAAATTCAAAAGAACAAAACTGAGGTTCGAAAATTTTAATTATCAATCGATTAGACCATTAATTCGACTCCAGTCTCATTATTTTCATTATTGACAATGTTGAAAAAGATGAAGAATGTTCAGAGAAGAAGATTGTCATTTCGATGATATACCTTATTGAAGGTGTTTAATTGTATTTATAGGGATTTAGTAAGTCTATAAGTGGACGAATTATAGAAAGAACCGGCATCACAATGCGTTTAATGATTCGAAGTACCGAAATACACTTGCTGTATAACCTAAAGTTAAAAGTAGGAAAAAAAGATGAAAATAATTTAACGGATTAGAAATGGGAGAGATAATTATCCACTGTACAGACGTGAAAAATAAACGATAGTTATAGAGGTAATAATCACTGTTTACTGATTAGTGAGGTGAAGCATAAAAATAAAAGACAAAAAGTATCTTGTAAGGGTTGTTAGAACCAGGAAAGAACTAGAGATTTTACTAGTTACTTAAATTGTTGAGTAGACAAAGCCTCTATAGCTTATAAGTCCTTTGATTTAACCTCCCCATATTTCCACTAATTTGACTCAGTAGATTATTTGAAGGACGCTGCTGCTACATTTGCTGTCTTCGTCTGTATGTGTTCATGTGTATGAGATAGGAGAGCTAGGTCATCTGCGAAGTCCAAATCGTCTAATTGATTCTGAGATGTCCATTGTATTCCGTGCATCCCCTCAGATGTCGAAGTCTTCATAATCCAGTTCATCACCAGAAGAAAGAGGAAGGGGTAGAGTAGATAGTCTTGTCTGAATCCGGTACTTACTGGAAATACATCTGTCAGCTGTACCCCATGCACCACTTTACACTGTAGTCCGTCGTATGAGTTCTGGATAATGTCGACAATCTTCTCAGGAACTCCATAGTATCGAAGAAGTTTCCATAATGTTCTCCTGTCCACAATACCAAACGTTTTCTCATAGTCAATGAAGTTGATGTATAGTCGCAAGTTCCACTCAACTGATTGTTCCACGATGATCCAACTTGTTGATCTCGAAGTCGGGCATCTACTGCGTCTTTCATCCACTTCAGCAACACTCTATTGAAAACTTTTCCTGATACTGACAACAGTGCGGTGCCTCTGTATTTTTCACATTTGCTCAGATCTCCTTTCTTTGTTATCTTGATGAGGTATCCTTCTTTCCAGTATGTTGGCACTTGTTCTTCCTCCCAAACCTTGTTGAATAGAAGGTGAAGCATGTTTGTTGTTACTTCAATGTCTGACTCTAGAGCTTCACCTGGTATATTGTCAGGTCCTGTTGCTCTCCCATTCTTGATTTGTTTGATGACTATCTTGACTTCTTTGATCGTTGGTTGTGTAGTGCCATCTATAGGAAGGTTTATGTGCACTGGTTCGATGTTGGGTGGATTTAATGGAGTTGGTCTATTCAACAGCTCATCGAAGCATTCTACCCATCTTTTCCTCTGTTCTTGAATCTCCGTGATTGTCTTTCCTTCTTTGTCCTTAACTGGTCTCTCTGGTTTACTATATCTCCCTGCTAATTCCTTCGTTGTATCATATGGTTATTTAATATTCCCTTCTCTTGCAGCTTTTTCCACTGTCGTTGCTAGTTCTCTCATTTATTTCTGCTTATCGGCTTTATTGCACTTCTTCACTTGCTTGTTTGCTTCTGTGTATTCAGATTGTGCCTTAGCTTTCTCTGCCCTTGTTCGACTGTTGTTAATTGCTGTATTCTTGTTCTTCCTTTCCTCAGTATTGTCCAGGGTTCCCACAGAGATCCATTCCTTATGATGATGTTTCTTTAGACCCAGCACCTGACACGTTGAAGTTAGTGTTTCTTTGATCCCTTTCCAGTTGTCCTCCAAAGTAGTTTCTTGTTCATTCAGTAGATCCTGTAGAGCTTAGAGCCTGTTGTTGAGAGTTACATTGAATTCGTGGAGCTTGTCAATATCTCGAAGGAAGGCTGTATTGAACCTTTGTAGTGCTGTTTGTCCAGTTGTCCAGTGTTTCTTTAGCTTCAGTCTCATCTTGGCCACAACCAGGTGGTGATCTGAAGCTATGTCAGCTCCTCTCCTGGTACTCACATCCTCCATTGATCTTCGGAATTTTTTGTTGATACAAATATGATCTATCTGGTTCTCTGTGGTGTGGTCCGGCGAGATCCATGTAGCTCTGTGTATGTGTTTGTTTGGAAATATTATGCCGCCTATAACCAATTTGTTGAATGCACATAGATTTGCAAATCTATCACTATTCTCGTTCCTTTATCCCAGTCAGTCCATGTCGTCCAATTATATCTTCATATACTATGTTATCCACTCCGACTATAGCATTTGGATCTCCTATCAGGATGGTGCGGTCCTTTCTTGAGCACTTCGTTATGATTGATTTCAGCCTCTCATAGAACTGATCTTTCTCGTCGTCTTTGCTATCATCGGTGGATGAATAACATTGGGTAACACTTATTGTGATTCCCTCTTCTTTGTTTTGGATGATGCTTTGATAATTCTGGATCCATGAGTTTGATGATGCTGCCCAGGTGCGTAAAAACTTCCACCACTCCCAGATCTTCTCCATCGAGTGTGATTTGGTTGTTGCCCTCTTTGTTGTATTATAGGACCTTGTTTTCTCCTTTCTGAATGTCTAGTCTTATTGCTGCAGGGGCTACTGCTATACTGACTGTCTTTAATTGCATTTGTCGATGTGCAAAAGAGAGAAGCGTTAGGTCATCTACCAAGTCCAAATCATCTAAGTATATCCAAGCTGTTTATTGTATTCCGTGCTTGCCCTGAGTTGTTCAGGTTTTCATAATCTTATTAACCACCAGAAGAAACAGAAATGGAGAGAGTTGTTAGCCTTGTCTGATACCAGTCTTCACCTGAAATTCATATTTAACATGCCATCGATGGTCTCTTAAATAAACTCTTAGTTTTCAACTCGATATTTGTTATATAAAACAGATTTAGAGTAATGATCGCAAACCTTTAAAATTACTTCTGACTTTAAAAATTTGCTCTGTGTACTGACCGGAAAAATTACAACATAATTCAATATGATAATGATGAATGTATGATATGTAGATATTCAGTACTAGTAAACACTATCATTTTTGGTCATATCAATCGCCAATCGTCAAAAGATTCTAGTCTCTGATATATTTGTTATGAACGTTTAAATATCAGGAGGTAAATTATCATGTATAAAATAAGTAGCCAAACATACCCATTTGATTCAGCTAGTAATCTTATCAAACAGCCTAGGACATACTCTAGTAGGTAGACAATTTGCGTCTTGTTATCTTCTGAAGTCGGATCTTCAATACAAATGTTGAAACAGTTTTATTGTATGGTACTAAAACTTAATCAAATACCACAACCATCACCGAAAAAGTTCAGGTGTTTGTGGATAGCTGTTTACACAAGATGCTCCAGATCCATTAGCCAAACACTATAAGTAGTAACCTGCTGTGACAGAAAACAAATCAGATTCTAGTTGAGGAAGAAATTAAGAAAAGACCCTTAAGGTGGATAGGTCACATTTTACAGAAACTGTCAAATCTCATCACAAAGCAAGCCGTAACTTGGAATTCTTAAGGCCAAATAAAAAAGAGGGAAATCAAGACTTACGTAATTTAATTTACAATATTATTGTGATTTTCATTATTTTTAATAATATGTAACATGTGTAAACGTGGATTAGGATTGGCTGAATGACGATTACGGCTTCGTCGTGAACTGAACCACATATTACATCCATTTATAGTGCATTTATGCATTTCTTTCAAATGAACTGCACTGTGATGAATCTTAAGTGCTCCTATCAAAATATTGAAGAAAAAAACATAACAACAGTAAAAAGTTAAAAAGATGAACAATTTTTACTTTTTCTTTTTCAGTACATAAGTGTTACTATTGGTTGATTAGTAGGTAGCTCAAAGTTTACGGGTATTTTGAATTTTTACATTATCTAATTGTTATATCCCAAAGCTATTTATGAATGGTAACTCTGTGAACTATTTGTGGACCAATATGATATGTATATTTCCTATTGTATAATTGTTAAGTAACTAATCTATTCATATTCGTGTCCCTCTTATTATAAGCTTTATTTTGACCCATAGACTATTATTATACGATTCACCATTCTTGAGTTATCCCTAGTCTATCAATTACTGTTCCCCTTATTCACAGCCACATTTGGTCAAATCTTGTACAAATATTATGTTCTATTTTATGGTACGATGTGGTCAGTTTGTTTGGTATATAAACCCAGTATGTTTGAGAATAATGATTCATATTGCAGAGGCTGTTATTGATGTTCTGGACTTAACTGGCTGAACTAGGCAGAAATCAGGACTGATAAGTATTCAAGACTGCTCATGCGGCTTTTGTGTATCATTGCTCTGATCGATAATCCACTGCTCTCTGATTGGCGAGAATCAGCACGTTCATATATATCAACTGGACAAGAACGCAAGCAATCAATATAACACTAATCATTGACTAAGATTAAAACAATACTGACTATTTACCTGCTGATATACAAATAACTTACATCTTGCTTAAACAGGCTAAAACAGTAATCTAGATGGTTATTTTGAAATCACAATCATAGAGTTTCCAAATTAATTTATGACATTTCAATTGTGCATTCATAAGTAATTAATTCATCATTATAATTACAATTGTGGATCAAAGTCTTTTAATCAAGAGTTGTTGAATAACTACCTAACGTTAAACATTTTTGAAACAATTTTTAAGAAGCCTAAGGTTCTCATTTACACTTTGTTGTCATTTTATATCAAATAATTTATTTTGAATTTTCCAATATTTCCATAATTAATGTAACTGAACGCCCTTATCATATAATTTACACCTAAATTATTAAGTATGATTGTAGTGAACAAGAATATGGGTAGAGATAATCCAATGTTTCTAGGCATAAATTACAAACTATCTCACTAAAGTCTAATAACCATACAGTAAACAGTTAATTTGCAAACCATCAATCAATTGTCTCAATCTTAACTGTTCCTTCTGCAAATATCAGTCCATCGTCTCTGATTTCATTGTTCATGCATTTTCATACCGATTGCGCTTCGTTCTTTTTCTTTCCTTATCGATCTTTTGCTAAAATACATTCTATGTCTGACCATCATCATATACTACTTATACCGATATCAGTAACCCACACCATATGATAACTAACTAAGCTTAAAATTTGATATACATTGTGAACCAAATATAAGAGTAAAACTTTTAAAATCTTCATTGTTTAATGTCTATAAGTCGTAACTAGTCTAAATTCTTACTAGTATCTTATAAGATATTTTACAATTGTACTAAACTAGATTTATATTCCTGATATAATTTAGGAAAGATTTTTAAGTACATTTTCATGTTTGATCACTGGAAATAGAAAGTTTTTATTGATGGGAAAAAAAAACACTTTCAATAAACTAAGTTGGTAAATTTAATTTGATTTCTTTTTAAATAAATAAGATTTGTTATATGATTCATTAATTTGATTGAAACATTATTCTTCTTAGTCAAAGATTCAATATAGCAAATCATGGTGAAATCTTACTCCAGAACTCGACTAAGTTTAAGCTGTTAATCTAATCTAATATCATAAATTTTCATATCATCATTTTATATTTATTTTAATTTTAAAATATAAGTAGCCATTCTATTCAGAAGGGGTTTTATGGAGATTTCAGTGTTTTCATAGTTGAAAGTATGAGTAAATTGAAGCTAGACCACCAAGGAGAAACTGGAAGCACTGGACGGCCGTTTCGTCCTATTGTGGGACTCCTCAGAAGTGCGCATCCACGTTCCCGCCTCATGGGACTCGAAATCAGGACCTACCAGTCTTGCGCCAGAGCACTCAACCGATAGACCACTGAGACTGGTAGGTCCTAGGTTCGATTTTAGCTTAATGCTCATGGTAAAGGATAATTTCTCTGGTATTGGATATAAGTGAAATTGAGGATATCCCATGTATTGCTACCGATTTCGGATCCTTCAGTTGGATGGTAACTGTGTAGTGAAGGAGAATAACCGACTATGTATTTAGCACAAATTACAAAGTTGATTGGCAAAATAGAAAATCCATACTCTGATAATTCATCTGCAAAATGTTCATTAATTGTCTCAGGCTCCATTGTTTCTCGATTTCCACATCAATCGCTTTCTGTTTCTGTTCTTCCCTTCTATATCTTCCTAATCTTCTGCTGCCAGATATTCTATTCCTGACTCAAGATATATACTACTTATATTGATATAAGTAACCCACCCCATAATTGAATCACTAGGTTGATATTCATATTGTGATTCAATAGTTTCCTGTATTATGATGACTATCAGTTTGTTCAATCCATTCTGTGAATTAACTATGGTGTGTGACAAATATCATTAATGGTAAAGGATGAGGATAGTGTAATGTAGCTAACAGACTGAAACTAAAAATATAAGCTATTGGATATCAACCAATTGGTTTGAAATTCTTGAGTTCGATTCTTGGTTAGATCAGGATAATTACTGCTGAAAGGTTCCATGTTAGGACAAAGTAACAATCAGAAGCTTTTTAGTTTTCAATATTTATCTAACTGAAGCCACTTAACACTGTTAATCTACAAACTAATTATACAACAGAAGAAAAGCAACAATTAAATTTACCTTTATCACAGAATGTCTTCCCACAATTTGGACATATAACACGCTTCTTATTTCTTTGTTCAAATTTCTTGTTATTGATCACAGTCTGATTTATTGTAATTGGAGTAGACGGATATTTCAGAGAATAATGATCGTAAGCATATTCAGTAGTTATTACTTGTATATTCTGTATAATTTCTTGAGTTGAAAGATCATCAGATTGTTTAAGTTGATTTGAATAGATATGTCTAGCTAATAATTCTAAATCAAAGTTAATAATGAACTTAAAATATAAATGAATGTGTTCTCTTTGACAAGATTTATTCTGCCAAATTCTTCATAACTACCATAGTAAATCTAATCAGAATATGAACTTTAGTTAGATCAAATGTAATATAACTTCATGGGTCAAGTAGAAAAAAAATTAAATGTTCAAAAGAAATTTCATCACCCTGTGTTAAGTCTGTTTACAGTCTATGTGCTTATTCACTTCCTTTAAACTATTTATGTATTGTTTTATACTACTTGTTACTTACTTACTTACTTACTTTCGCCTGTTAATCTCCCAATGGAACATAGGCCGCTGACCAGCATTCTCCAATCCAACCCCCGTAGAAAACTAACTCGCTGAAAAAACGCTAACCAGAAAAATATAATTCATACCATGTCACTTTTATAGTGAGAATATAATGTTTTTATTGACTACCGCTCAAATACCTCAACCATCTAGACTAATTTCTTGTTCTTAATAACATTCTATCAGTTCACCAATAACTCTATTGGTACTTCTTTACAATTTTGTCAGTTTATTATGATTTGTTGGGATGACCCTGTAATTTTCACGCAAGCGACATGTGGAGATCCTGATTGGCTGATTAATACACTGCTACTATGTTTAGCAGTATTCTAGAACTTTCAGTAAAAACTCAAGGACTCTTAAATTACTATAAAATCCCCATATTTTCTGTACTTAAATAAACCCTGTAGTAAAGTGCTTCCCTCACACTTTGTGCCTTCTCTCTGGTCTTCAAGTCGGTGTATAGTTCTAGCTCGGGGGTACGGAACTAGCTGAGGGAAGCGAATATAGCGTTCACAATCGGCCAGACGTAACATGATTTATTAAACATATGGCCGAAACTGTAGCATTCAGAAATAATAAAGTTGAATTTATGAAGTTTGTGGTAACTTGGAACATTTTGATGATTAACAACTTTGAACAAAAGTCACGTAATGAATTCCTGAAACTACTTTCGTATGTACTAATATTCCATGTTTGATTTTCTTTTTTGTTGTTTAATTTCATTTGGTTCATCATTTAATGTTACGAAAATGGAACTCAACACTTTTAAGTACCTTATTAAGTCTAAAAACTTGTGAGTTCAGTATCTGATAATAACGTTAAGTTGAATAATCAAATTTATAAGACATCGTTTGATTGGTCAATGTGAAGGAAAATGTCAGAACATTTTAAAATAAAAAAAAAACAAGCAACCAAGTGGTGAAGACCCAGAATTAACTAACTTTAAGAGAGTTAAAGAATAAACTACTCTGAAGATCAATAGGGAGTAGTCACTTCATTATGGTACTAATGTTTAAAACAATGTTATACCTAATATATTAAGTCAGTTTTGAAATATATAGACCATTATCCAATATAAATAAGATTGTAATGAATAATTTATATAACTAAGTTAAATATTTAAGGAAAGGCTTAAATCAACCAATACGATATGAAGACAGTATGAAATAAATGTAGAATATAGTTGGGTATATTGATTGGTTACTGAGTAGTAACCAATAATACATTTATCGTGTCTTTAATTTTGATCAGATTCTATGGAATGAATTATAATATGATCATCACTCTAAGCAATTCAACATCACGTAAACTTTGTCTTATTATTAAATGTTTGAAGATAGTCAATAGGAAACTTCAAACATGACTTTGTGGTAGTTAACACTCGTTAATTTGTACCTGGAATTTTGAGGAAACATATACTCTCTGCGAAATTTGGACACACATCACTCAGTTACTCTTTACTGATGAGTGCTTAGTTGCAAGAAACCTAGAGTCAGGATTTCCTTTCAACTACATTAAACTGACATAGATTAGTATAAATAAACGTTTTTTTTGCACTGAAACCAATCAGTAGAAGGTCACTGAAAGTTTCCTTATCTATCAGAGTTCTTTCAAAAAAATTTAAAATATTAAATTACCTTCTTTGCTAAGACTACCTGTCCAATATGTAGGAATAATATTCTTGAGATTTTTTGTTTGATTAGTAATTCTTCCAGTTTGATTTTGATAGCTTAACATATCCAATGAAAATTTACTAATCCAATTCAATAACAGCTCAGGATTTAAACTGAATACTTCATCTTCCATATTTAATATTTCTTGTCTTTTAAATTGGTTATGTTGTGGAAGGTTGGCTTGATCATCATCACCATCATGAATCTGACCACCTGAATGGATGCTTATATGAGCATTCTCATTAGGAATTGAACTGAATACAGATGAAAACTTATCTTGACCAATATTATTATTAGTAGTAGTCCAATTGTCAAATGTATCATTTAAACATTGAATAAATGTTGAATCATTACTGTGTTTAGTTAAGATTTGATTTGATAAACAGTATGAGTTGAATATTCTAGAATTCGATGACATTTTATTTAACATAATCTGTGGAGATAACAATTCAAAAGATGAAATAGCATCATTATTATTGAAGTATAATGTAGAACAGGTTGGAATTCTGTATAAATCCTTATCTTGAATAATATTCATATTTGTTACATTTATCTCTTCTATAAGATCAAATTGAATAGTTTTTAATAAACTATCAGCTAATGTATTTAGATTTGGTAGATTTCTAATTTGTTTTAAAATTAGATATTCTTCATTAGGTGTACATATATTCAATATTGATTGTTTGCAGTTCTTTAAAGAAACCACCAACACCATAACCACCACCACCACCCCAACAACAACAATAGATAAGTAGAAAAATTAGTAACTACGCGTAACAAATTTCAAAAATTAACAAATATGTATTCATAATTATAAACAGTGTTTTCTTTAAATTCACTTGGTATTGTTTGTTTGAATCGTCTCATTGATGTTAAGGACTGCAACTGGTCAATCTCTTTTATTGGCATATGTGCATACTGTGCGTATTGCCACGATATAGCTTTAATTCACAAGCATTATAAGCAAAGATGGATAGCGGCTAGCACAAGCAAGTGGCTATCAGGATTCAGTAGCTAAGTAGATAACGCGATGGCGTTTGAAGCGAAAGGTACTGAGTTCGAGTTCCAGAGTGGACATCAACTCTGAGATTCAGGTATATCCAGCTGACGAGTCCCGAATAGAACGAAACTCACGTCCTGGATTCCACTGCTAGCCACTATCCATCTTTGCTTATAGTGTTTTCTCTACTTTTAACAGTCAATAAATAAATACATTTAGCTATTTTTGATGGTAGTGTAGTGTCTAGCACAATGTTATGCTTTCATGGTTATTCTCACTTTTAGATAGTTCAATTAATTTCTTCTTTCAGAGATATTATTCATACATATTTTGACTATGTCAATTATCCCCGTATAACCTGAACTGCTTTTTTATTTGAGCGTGTATGTATGTATCGCTTACTCTATGTAATTAGTTTATTTTTCTCAGCCTATAAATAGCAAGTCATACTTTATCAAATGGAGTTGACGCGCTTTCTTTCTCCGCTTCGTTTCATTGCTTCTCATCTCAATATCTTTTTGAGTAAATGAATAAATGAAATAAATTCATTCAACTTTAGCCGTATTTGGTTTCTTATTACTGCTATCACTCAAACGGTGTTACTTGGATATAACATACAACATTAAGCAGAAAATTTATATTCATGACTTATTCATTCGTTCGTTCACACAGAGAGCCAAATTATGGGCCATTAAAATAGTTAGAGAAATCATTCCTAAACCAGTTGTCATGAATGCAACCTTAAAGTGACATGAAATCTTGCATGTATGCCGACTAATGATTCTTGTTTAGATGTAATTCATGAAGTTCTAAGAGAAGGCTATGGACTATAAAGACGTTACAGTCTCATCTGTGACAAAAATCACTGATATACATATACCAAACAGAAACTTACATTTATCATATAACCGCATGTATAATCTGTTAAAGACCAACCAAATATTTTCAAAATTTGTTCAAATTGATATTTTGTTAAATAAATCTCATTGAAATAATCTAACAAAAACTTCATTCGAATTGGAATTAAATGGCAACCACAAAGAATTAAATTTGTTAATTGACATAGGATTATAAGAATATGTAATAGTCTATTTGATGATGTTGATGTTATTTGCTCATTAAAATGATTGATATAGATTAAAAAATTTTCTATTGCTGTTAGAACAAAGAAAAACCCAGGTAACAATGAATAATATTGATGTGAAGTTGAAAATCATTCAAAAAATAATGTTGAATATTAAGATTGAAATATGGTTGAAAGCATGAGTCAATTAAAGCTAGATCACCAAGGAAAACCTGGAAGCACTGGACGGCCATTTCGTCCTATTGTGGAACCATCGGATATCGGCTTAGTGGTATATCGGTTAAGTGCTCGCGCGCGAGACTGGTAGGTCCTAGGTCCGAGTTTCGCGAGGCGAGGTCGTGGATGCGCACTGCTGAGGAGTCCCACAATAAGTACTTCCAGTTTCTCCTTGGTGGTCTAGCTTCAATTGAATCATGCTTTCAACTATGCAAATACTAAATATCCACAAAAAACCCCTTCTGAAATATGGTTAACAGTATAGTCTATGTCATGCATCTTTATTTGTTACTCTTCAGCTGGATATACCTGTATCGCAGTGTTGATGATGTCACTCAAACTCGAACCTAGTATCATTTGTTTCAAACACCGATGCGCTGAAATAATGAGCCTAAATAGCCGATAACTTGTTCACCGCATATATATATATATATATATATATATATATATATATATATAGGGCTTTGAGCTTTCTTGTAGGCGATATTGAAGACTCTATCGGTATATGTAAATACTGAAAGGCTTGCCTCCATATTACTTTTGCTTACAAGTTTAACCAAAAATGAATGGTCCCTAGAACTGGAAATCATAACCACAGCTTCATCCTATTCTGGACTGGTCAATAAGATCATCCAAATATATTCATTACTATTAACAAAAGAGAAACTGAAACTATTACACAAATTTTTTTGAATGTTAAACATTTCAGTACATATATATGGCTTATTTTTAAGCCAATCAGGTTAATTAGATAATCGGACCGCTGACTTAAATGACTAGAAGCTTGGTATAGTTTATAATGGATGAGAATAATCGAATCCCTACTAAATGTATAACTATCGCTTCCTGTGTTTTTAAATAAATCTACCAAGATATCATAAATTAGCTGTAATCTTATGCAACTTCACAATCACAAATCTCACACTAAGAGATGATAATAGGATTTCAAAAAATATTCAACGTTTAAGCCAACCTTATTTATAGTTTACCGGTATGTGTTTGATTGTATAAGATTTGTATTTATTTACTGTGTTCATATTTTTTCTACCAAGGTATGAGGTCAGCTATTAAATTATTCAACTCATGATAAATAACTAACATCATGGCTAGTATCTTCTATATGTCCAAAATGCAGTTAGATAAGAGTAAGAGAATGAAATAACAAACATTGAGTGTAGTTACCTAATTGTATTGATAGATTCTTGGGAATAAATATCGTAAAGGTTTGATATTTATCAGAAGCATTAATACCGATGATTTCATCAAATTGTTCGTATATGTGCGCGCGTGTCCTAGATTCACTGTCCGAAAATTACATTCTAAAAATTCTATCCTAGGATTTATCGACAGTAAGTAAACTTATTCCTTCTTGTGAGGAAAAACAGAATGTCCAACAATTTCGCAACAATGTAATTTTTCATAGTTAACATTATTGACTGTTCTCAGTTCAAGGATTATTGAAAGTCGGAAGCATCAGGAATCTGTTTTTTCCTAGTAAAGGACTTCTTGGTAGTCAGTATCCTTAGCCTTCCATCAAGAATCAAATCCAGGACCTCCGATCTCTTTTGCAGACACTTGACCTCTTTATACATTTATTATCAATCATTTAACGTTATAATATGTTATCTGTGCCTAAACTCTCCTCAAATACTTTACAGTTGATTGCTTTGAACTGAATGAATGGTCAAGACTCATTCAAATTAAGCCTCAGTAGGTTGACCTATGTAATCAAACAACAATCAAGAAAACCTGTCATTTCAACTTACCATGAAGTGTCCATGAATGGTTACATTTAGAACAATATCGAAGACTAGTTGTACATGGTGTAAAACTGTTACATTTACACAGAATACATTGATAATTTTGACTTTCCATAAAACCTAATGCCTGAAACGAATTTACAAGTAGACATATTTTTAAATGAAGAAATAAAGTCGTAGAAAAAACTAATCTGATTGAATCGATTAAAAGTAGTTAGCTGATTATGTGAACAAAGTTAATCGGTAAATAATGTTATAATGTTGTTATAACTGTAAAATCTGGACATAGAACACAGAGATATGCTGCGATCTTGAAAGACTCAAAGATGAAATCAAAATTAATAACAAAAGAAAATTTATTCCATTCCACCACCTTTTAAACAAATGAACCCATTTATTTAGTGATCTTACTCAAATTTAATGATTGATGAATAAATATTCTACATAGAGAAGATACAAAAATGAATATTGCAGAGAATTACTACAGATTCCATATTATATATTATGCTGAATGAAGTTCGTACTAAACTGATACAAAGAATGTTAAACTAAAATAAAATCAATGTTACCAAGCTTTAGCTAGATATACACATAATTCAATCAATCATACTATAGAAAATAGAATTTTTCCAACTCTAATATACTGTGGTGGTTGTTATGTAGTACCGAAGACATAAGTACGGGTAACTTGCAGGACCTACTATTGGACTATCATTCTTATTGTATAACTATTCGGTAACTAGATTATCTAAGCTTTATTTTGACCTATTGATTATTACTACATGATTTACTGTCCCTATGTTATACTCAGTTTTATTGATTATTGTCTCCCACGCTTACAGCCTCATTTGGCCTGGTTTTGTACAAATATTATTTTCTATTTTGTGGTGTGGTGTGGTCTGTCTGTCTGGTATATAGATAAAGTATGTTTGAAATAAACGATTTGTATTGCCGAGGCTGCTATTGGTGTTTTGGACTCAAGTGAACGGGTTAGGCGGATAAGGGCCAATAAGGACGCTAGATTACTCATACTAATCGAACGTCATTGTCACAGTGTGAAGGTCGTAGAAGTCGTATTCTATTGGTGGACAATTTACGCGAATTACGTCCTTGTTAGATTCGTAAGGTCATAACGAATAAGCGACGACCTTGATCAAGTCATAACAATTGGCTACAGTCTAGGTCAAAAACATAACAGTGGTCGATATTCGATATTTTCCTTAAGCTTCGTAAATTGTTCGTCCTGATAACCGTTACTCGATAACGCTCCGACGTTGTATCAATCAGAAGATGAATACAAAGTATTGATTGCGTTTATTATTGAATCACACATAGATATCCAAAACTACAGGCACGTTAAGCACGCATGAAAGAGTAGTGCCATAAAGCAAGTGAGGGAGCGGGCGAGTCGAATGAGCGAGCGAGAGATCGGCTGATCGAGTACAGTGAATTGGATTAAGATGTACATATGGAAATGCATGAATCATCGAATCAATTAAGCGATTAATAGTAAGGTTAGCAGAATGAATACATGCGTAAGCAGTAAGCAATGCTCAAGCGTACATAATAAAGGTACAATAGTATAGATAGATTGTTATTATGCAAATGACTCTGTCCGTTAAATAAGTTAACAAAAGGCTCAAGCAAATTAGATATGAACAAACTCAATTGTATGTGAGCTGCTATAATATGACGTCCTGTTAACTGAGTATTTTAGAAAACCAAGCCCGGATAAATGATCAGGGTTGGGCATGGGGTTAGCGACCCCATCCCGTAGAAAACCAGATTTCAGTGGAGGAAGAAATCAGGAAGAAGAGCTGGAAGTGGATAGGACACACATTGAGGAAAGCACCCAACTGCGTCACAATGCAAGCCCTCACATGTAATCCTGAAGGTCAAATGAAAAGAGGAAGACCAAAGAACACATCACTCCGAAAAATGGAGACAGACATGAGAAGAATGAACAAAAGTTGGATAGAACTAGAAAGGAAGGCCCATGACAGAGCGCGTTGGAGAATGCTGGTCGGTGGCCTATGCTCCATTGGGAGTACCAGGCGTAAGGATGAAATTTTCATACTTTTTAAGCGAAAACAAGTTAATATATCTTGCAACGAGAACTTTTCAGTAAAACATCATGTATATAATATGGTATTTCTTATGTAGTAAGAAGTTATTACAAAGTAGTATTCTACAATGATTCCGTTTAGATAAGTATTCACTGAATTAATTAGATCAATCACTACTAAGTGTATTTATCGCTTCTAAATATTCTCACTACAGATATAGTAATTTCAATTGTTGAACTCATGAGTTGATCTAAGTTAGACCACCATTGGAAACCTGGAAGCACTAGATGGCAGTTTCGTCTTAGTGCGAGACTCCTTAGGTGCGCGCATCCACGGTTCCACACGCAAGATTCGTGCCCACCACCCTCGGGCTTGCGCACAAACGCCTAACCTCTAGATTACTTAGTCGGCATCCATTGGTGTTAATGTCTAACTTTAATTAAAACATGATCTTGCACAACCCTTTGTGGACGTTCATTGCTGAGGAGTCCCATACTAGGGCGAAACGGCCATCCAGAGCTTCCGGGTTTTCAATGATGATCTAGCTTAGATCGACTCATAAATTCAACTATTAAAATTACAACAATCTTCACAAATCCCCATTGTAATAAAAAATATAGTAGCTGGTTAAATTTATAAAATCACAAGGGAAATCTCCGTAATTTTGTGTTAATTAGTTAATCAATTAAAGTTACATTTCCCATTTTCAGTTCTGTATAAAAATTATTTTTTCAGAAATTATGGAAGAATCTAGTCAATAAGCATATACATTAGGCTTATTATATATATATATATTCTGATATTTCGATTACTGTTTAAATGAATTATGCAACAATTAATTTCAACTCCCTTTTAATCTAAGAAACTAAATAATAGACGGATGAGTGAGTTATGAAGATGTGTCTAAGTTGGTGACATTTACCATGTTATAGATTAGATGCACTGTGGTTAGCAGTTGACTTTGGCACAAAGGTTTTGTCTTATTTGTTGCCTGTTAGTTGGATGCACATTTGTTTATTTATTTAAACACATAAATATTGATCAAAGGAAGCACCAGATAAATATGCGCCGCACAAATCTCACTCGATTTGTGTGAGGGCTGTGATACTTCCTCGACGCCCAAACTGAAACAGATGATTTTCTTAGAGCGCCACACCCGGAGCCTTTGACCTAAATGTCCGATCCACAGGGCTGTGGAGTATCGTAAGGAGATGCAGTCCCATGGTAGCCGGTGACCAACGATTGATTCACATGCCATGTGTTCCCTCAGGATACTGGGGCCCATGTGCACCATTGGTTTGGAATGAGGGTTTTCCAACTCCCCTAGGTGAACTTTCCGCGTCCACCAACCAGGTTAAAGCGCCGGGCATTCGCTTTTTATCGACTCAATTTCGTAAACACCAGTAATTCCAAGAGAAGGCAGTGAGTAGTACTTTCCTGGCAGAGGCTATATATTCGCTGGCCATGTGAGAGCATTTTGAGAGGGAGAGCGGACTTTCCCCACTCTCAGCCATACCAGGGTATTTTGGGGGCCGAATGCACATACATCCAAACGTTGTTGTTGTTCATATTAGAACTGTAATCTATTAAGAATAAATGGAGTTAATATACATCATTCACTGGGTTAAAGTATCAACTTGAGTAACAACACTGAAATGCAACTAAGTTCAGCTTGAGAGTCCCGAAACTAAACAAAAAATGTATACTGGTTACTAATTTAAGACACTACTAAAAATATACTCAGTCCTCAATACTGTATGGTAGCTTTTTAACAGGACAAAATGTACATCCTGAATACCACTACTAAGAATGATTATTCCATTTTATAAAAAACTTGTGATAAAAGGGCTATATCAACACAGTCAGTAAATGATGCACAAATGCTACCAAGGACCGGCCAAAATTCATCCCTGTTTATTAACAACTGGATAATCTCAACCCTTAACAGCAATGTTGCGGACATTTAAAGAGCGACCGAAACCATCTAGTGCTTGATAGTTGTTTCTTTCTTACACTGAACACCAATTACTCCACACCTAATTAAAGTTGGTGCCTTCACACATCATGGCAACCACGAAACCTGGATTTGAAACTTAATAATCCACGTGTTTTAAAACAACAAAATACTTTTTTTGAGAAGTAGTAAGACCTTTTTGATAGAACTTATTTCTCATATCTTTTATTAACTAAAAAATGATAACATTGAAAATGAAAGCATATATATTGCTATTTCTTCAAAGGCAATAATCATTTTAAGCAAAGATTGATAGTGGCTAGCAGTGAAATCCAGGACGTGCGTTTCGTCCTACTTGGGACTCGTCAGCCGAATGTACCTGCATCTCAGAGTTGATGTTCACTCTGGAACTCCAACCCACTACCGTTCGCTTCAAACGCCATCGCGTTATCTACCCGGCCACTGAGTCCTGATAGTCACTTGCTTGTGCGATGGGGTGAAGTTTAAATTCATTTAATAATCATTTTGACTATTCTCAACATGTATTTCATTGGATATTACAAATTTTTGGTTAGATTGTAGTTTTTGGACATCACATAGTGACAATAAAAGGTTTTTACTGAATAATATATAATATGTTCAAAATCTGTCATTAATGATAATATTTAATATATCTACAATTTGAAGATTATCAATGACTGTAAGTGAACATATATAGATAGATATTAGTCTCAATTCCTTCAAAAAAACTTTTGAGGAAGAAACATCAGTTGTTGTTGTTGTTGTTGTTCTTGTTGTTTGAATGTTATTGAATATTCAACTTCATGTGTCTTTTGATCCATTTGTTGTCATCACTTGGCGTTCATTTAGTGTACACACTAGATTATGTATTTGTATGTATGTCTAACATTGTCATTTAATAAATTTTAAATAAGAAAGACACATTTAAGTCATTTTATTCATTCCCCCCCCGCCTTCAATAAGTGATATAAGTAAAAACAAAAATGGCTAAATTAATAATTTACTTATAGTTATCTTAGAAACAAAACAAATTTGTATAACATAATGAAGTATGTTAGTTAGTTTTTATTGTTTGGCGACATTTTTTTTCTGGTCAAAATATATTCTATAAGTCAATGTTCAATCATTTAGTTGACTTAAATAGATACTAATGACTTATACCATGATAAAATTGACAATGATGTTCATGACAAAGACGATGTTGATTTCCCTAAAGATTTTTTTAAAGAAAAGAAAATAGTGATTAAGAAAAAAAAGAGTTAGAAAAGTTTAAACTTCCCATTCTTATTCTGGTAGTACCTAGTAGTTAGGGGGGGAAATGGCACACATACCAAATGGTCATCAAACTTTTCTTTTTTTTGATTATGAAAATTGTCACATTCATGTAGTATAGATTGAAAACAACATAATTGAACAGTTGGTAACAACAGATTCAAAAAAATTGAAAAATAGGGTGAGGGAAAACTTCTGAAAATGTTAGTTCATGAAAAAAAAGTAAAAAAAAAAGTTTTATCCAAATAATGATTTGTAAAATTCCAGCTACTGATTATAACTTTTTAAGACTTTTATTATCTAGGGAACTATGTAGGTGGCTATAATGATTCAATAGTTTGGTAGATATTACTCATTAGGTTGAATTATCACTGTAAACAACAACATTAAAGTACAAATGAATTTAATTGATGAGCTTAGAAACAAAATAAAACATGTGTCTTGATTTTCGCTACTAGATGCAATTTTAAGATATAATCAATCCAGATTATAGTATGATATATTTTTAACTTTGGTTTCAAATTAAAAGATTTACATACTCATTGGAAACAGAGAACATCAATAAATTCATTTGATATTACTTGTTTGAATCTTCCCATTGATGTTTAGGGCTGAAACTGGTCAGTCTCTTATTGGCATATGTGCATACTATTCGTATTGCCTCGATATAGCTTTTATTTCACAAGCATTGTAAGCAAAGATAGATAGTGGCTAGCGGTGGAATCCAGGACGCGCGTTTCGTCTAATAAGAAATGTTTTTCCCAAAATGGTAAGATTTGTTCAGTAAAATTACTTTTTCTTATGTTAGTATATCATTATCTTTATATTAATATATACGACATATTGTAACAGATGCTTGGAAGCAATTGGTAAACAGCGTATGTGACCGGCTTTTAACACTGTGACACTCATTGGTATAAAATACCTGTTACAGAGCAAATGGCAACTCTTTTCAAGTCTTAGATTTTTTTATTATGTTCTGAAAAGTCTTAGAACAAGAAAAAGAACTACTTTAAACGACGCAATTACTGAACATCTCTCGGTTACAGGACATCAAGTCAATACCTTGCAATCTTCCTAAGTGATTTATAAATAGCCAAGCTCCAGTTTTCTGAAGTTTGAGGAGGCCGTTACTATCAGGCATCAGAAAGCTGATTTATGTTTTCAAAAGGAGATGGTTGTTTATCTTTACTTACCTTGGTGACAAATATCCCATTAACTCATCATAAAATTTTGTTCAACTCTTTGAATTATTGTGATTTTTTAAATTCCGACTGTCTTCCAGGTTAGTAATCTTATTTAAATTACTTATTATCTGCGTTTACTCACCACGTAACCATTGGTTTTTAGCCCTTCAGACTTTAGTTACAATCAATGGTGTAGAATGCTTTTTTTTTACATAGGGTATATATGTTTATAATAACTCCACCTGTAGCTCTTCTCTACTGCCAGTCCCAAGCCCGAATAAAGGAGGAAGGTTGAGCATGGGGTTAGCGACTCCATCCCGTAAAACCCAACGCGCTAAAAAACGATAACCAGAAAAAATAATCCAAACCACTTAAACTCTGCCCTGGGATTTAAAAGGAGAACTATGATGCCTCATGATGAAAGCCGAGATCCTTCCGTAGTCAAGAGGCCGATGACCCTTCTAACGGCCAGAGAAACTCTTTTTATAGGTACATGGAACGTCCGGACAATGTGGGAGACCGGGAAGATTAGTCAAATAGCAATGGAATATGTTTATAATATTTTATCAAGTCTACCAAATTTCTTTACACCCTTGATATGCAAGCAAATTCCAACTAAACTCTTTCATGAAAGTAATTTAAATCTATTTTATAGTTATGAGTTTCAAATATTACTGGTTTGAAGCATCTGATGAGAACCAAACAAAATAAAATGAATTCATGCTATTCCACTAAAATCTTTATTTTTGCTCTTTTCTAGACAATAAAGGGAACTAGGTGTATGAAACGCTTAAAATGAAGTCAAAACAATTAGTTGCTTTCATTTAGTATTGTTTGTTTGAATCTTCCCATTGATGTTTAGGACTGCAACTGGTCAGTTTCTAATTAGCATATGTGCATATTGTGCGTAATGCCACGATATAGCCTTAATTAGAGACTGACCAGTTGCAGTCCTAAACATTAATGGGAAGATTCAGGACTCAGTGGCCGAGTGGATAACGCAATGGCGTTTGAAGCGAAAGGTACTGGGTTCGAGTCCTAGAGTGAACATCAACTCAGGTGCAGGTACTTTCAGCTGACGAGTCCCAAGTAGGACGGAACGCACGTCCACTGCTAGCCACTATCCATCTTTGCTTACTTATAGTTGGTTTGTTTTTTTAAATCGTTCTTCAAATATTATAATTCTGTTTAGTTTTATATACACATTGCGATTTATTTTATTAAAAGAAACATTCGCTCATTTGTCAGAAGGTAAAACACTGTTTAGTGCTCCGTAAGTGGAACAAATTCATCAGATAAATTATATCTCTCAAGGTTTTATTTCAATTTGCATTATTTAATAAAGTTTGAGAAACGCCAGTTTACAAAACGGATAACGACTTTTATATCACTACGTGTATTTGATGTATACAACAAACGGCAAAATATCAAAAATCTCCACAACCCAATACTGATAATTACCACGTGCTCACTAGTGATTATCTTCTAGAGGTAATTCTCAGAGTCCTACTGAGAAGCCGTGACTAATAGAACTAATCCGTGTCAGGTAGAGACAGGTATCTACCTCACACAATGAAGACAGTTGCGCATTTTCGTGGATTGGCTGAAGTTAGACATTAACACTGTTGGATGCCGGCTCAGTGGTCTAGAGATTAAGCGTTTGAGCTCGAAACCGAAAGTCCAGGGTTGGAGTCCTGTACGTGGGGTTGTGAGCGTGCACTGTTGAGGAGTCCCATGCTGGGACAAAACAGCTGTCCAGTGAATCCAGGTTTTAGAAGATGGTCGATTCATGATCCCAATCAAAAAATCAACAATCTCCACAACCCCATATTGATAAATGGTGTACAACCTAACGGTTTAAAAATACACTCAACAATCATATTATGTCATGATCAATTACGGTTATTATTCACAATTCATCATAGAATCAAACCCTCACAGTGATCTTATACAGCATGAAAATAAACTAACTAAAAAGAAGACATTTTGGTCAATTTCATGTTTTCTATGGATTAATAGGAATTACGAAATCAGATAACTGTGCATAATACACTCACTAACAAGGATTGATCTTCATTAAACAATCACTGAAAACCAAGAAGTACTGATCATCTGTTTTATTGTAATATAGAATTCCTCAGCAATGAGAATGCATGACCTCACCATCAGGGACCGAATTCAGGATTTTCAATCTCGCATGCAAAAGTTTAACCTCTAGAATATTCAGTCAGTATTCAATGGGTTACATGTTTAACTTCAATCACTTTGTAATGTATTTATTGTCATTTACAAACTTTTAAATAACACACACTATATATCACAACATCTCTGAATGAATTGATTTCAATCTTATAACATAGGTTCAAATTAATTTATTTTTTTCCTTCATAATATCATACACTTAACCTACATAAGGTGGAATAATTTTCATTGGTACTAATGATAATCAATCAATATTGACTGAATGTAGAAACTGTCACTGATTATTTGATTCATAATTATTCTATAGTTGAATTCATGAGTCAAGTGAAGGTAGACCACCGCGGAAAATCTGGAAACACTGGACGGCTGTTTCGTCCTAGCGTGGGACTCCTCAGAAGTGCGCACCCACAATCCCGCCCCGCGAGATTCGAACCCATGACCTACCAGTCTCATGCCAGAGCACTTAACCGATAGACCACTAAGCCGGCATCCGATGGTGTTTTATGTCTATTATGTCAATTATTTTAATAATTTTGAAAATTAATTAAAATCATTATAATGATAATTAATATAATATAATGAAGGATATAACTGAAAGAATAACATTTAAACAAATCAAAACTATTCATTAAACAGTAATAATTCACAAACATTAAATTGGACATTTTTCTTACTCACATTAATGTATGAATTACACCACATGGAAGTGAAATTTTGAAAACAAATCCTAGAACAAAGTCCCACTGCTTCGACAACTATATCTACTTTGCACAATTGTTTATATATATATATATATATATATATATATATATATATATATATGACTACGAAAGTATGAAAGGGGTAGTGTTCTTGACTTTTATCTTATTTTGTAAACTTCAAGCAAAGTAAACAAGATGAAATCACCCGCCCACAGTTTTTTAAGGTTGTTACTGATAATATTTTCCCTAGATACTTTCTCTGAATGTTTTTCGTTTCATTTTTTTTGAAAAAGTTGTGTGGATTACATTTCTCCTTTTTGACACATACTTTGTTTCAACATCTTTGTATTTTCTCCCTCTCTCTCTTTTTATGTATGTGATTGAGTTAGTCAACGAAACAATCCTCTTTTTTCGGTGTCCAATAGTTATACATTTTTGTGAAAGTATGATCGTTGACATATTTTTTTGGTTGTTGCTGTTATGGTATCGCGAAATCTTTATCCTAATCAAATTTAATTTTGAAAAATTAGAAGATGGAGATGATGAGTGTATCATTAACGATTCAAAATGAAAATAAAATTTTACAAATGTTATATACTACTCATCATGTGATAGTAGTTTATGCTAATTTCTGGTTCTTTCAGTTGGGTTAATTCTTTAGAGGTAAGAAGGAAAATTACTTTAATGAAATGATTTTAGTTAAGCAACTATTGAAAACAATATCTCGTACTGGTAAATGTACATGAGGAAAATGCGGTTAAGTGACATGACTTAGCATCAGATGCATTCACGTTCTGTTTACTTTTAGTAACTAATTTCCAACGTCATTCTACCTTACTTCCACTGATCTTACCACTCCAATATTTATCTGTTCCGAGTTGGTTCACTTTTTTTCTAAGTTTCTACCACTTTCATAACTGTTTTATTGTAATTAGTGACTCTCAATTATATCGGTATTTTTATTGACACCTTATGAATTGTACGACCGTCTTCCATCGTCGAATAATTATCGATGATGGATGGGTTTTATTTGATTTTTCCAGTTGTCCAATGCTTTTTTAGCTTCCGTTTCATCTCGGCCACCACCATATGGTGATATGAAGCTATATCAACCCCTCTCTTTGTTTCTACGTCTTCCATGCACATTCTGAATATTTTACCGATGCAAATGTGGTCGACCTAATTCTCTGTAGTTTGATTCAGTGAAACCTAGATAGTTTTATGTAAGCGTTTATGGGTAAAATTGTGCAGCCAATAGGCATGCTGGTGAAAGCATGTAGATTTGACAGTCACCACTCTTGTTTTTTTCTCCTAGTCCATTTCTCACCATCACGCATTGCCCATCCCTACCTTGACACTCATGTCACTCATCAGAATGGTCAAGTCTTTTCCTGGGCACTTCCCTGGGATGTACTTTAGCATATCATGAAAGTGATCTTTACTATCCTCTCTATCATCGTTGGTGGCAGGTTTTATTAGATGGCATAATTTTTATCATTTCACTTATTACAAGCCGAGCCAGATTGTATCTTCTCATTCACCTATTGTTTGGATAATGTTTCTAGTCTCCCACATTGTCCGGAAATTCTATGTACGTATATTAACTGTTACTCTGGTAATCAGGAGAGACACCGGCTGCACGACATCCGGAGAATCTCCCCTTTTGTGAAAACTCTTCAACTTCCAGGGTGGAGTTTAAATATTTTAGATAATATTTTTGTCAAGTAAATTTTTAGAGGGTCCCTTTTACGCGAAGTAGGACTGCTAATCCCATCTCCGAACCTCCTCACTTACTCGGGTTCGGAACCAGCAGTAGCCCTATGGGAAGCTCTAGGCTGAAGTTCCATTCTATCAGGTGTTCATATTAAATTTCGGTCAACTTCATTTTTATAAACGTGTTCGACCTTGTTTGGGACATTTTATTTTAAGATATTACAAGTTGCAAGCAGCTGGTGAGAATCTAGCAAAACAAAATGAGAAATATAAGTATTGAGATTACGGAGACCAGTGAACTTTATTGAGGTCACAATCAATGGTTGTCTAAATTTCGTCAGTTCATAACCCCAAAAAAATGTGAATTCTGGACGTTCTGCCCTCGTCGTTGGTTTTGAGTCTTCCAACCTAATAAAAAGTTATGATTTCAACTTGGATACCTGAACCATAGCATCTCCGATTGCAGCACAAAATAGCACAAATTCATTTCAACCTCTGAAACAAGTTGCTATGATAGGAGGTGTCCGAGATCTGATATTGATACACGTGTTACATGCTGACCCCCCACCTAAAAACTTGACCGAGTACATAAAAGTGGACAAGACAGTGCATCAAGCTATAGAATGATATATATATATATATACCCACTTATTAGCCAACGATACACACTTGTCTTTCAGGTCATTTCAGATTGTCATGAAGTCGCTTTCTTACTTAGCTACTTCTGATTGGCGCACTATATCACAAGTCTTAGAAATAAGTGATGCTATCCGTAAAATTTACAATTTGAGTGCCACAACAGATACTCACAATCCTGCTGTATTAATTACACCGTTTTTCTAAAAATTTGTATGCTGAGTACTTTCTGGTGTCAATACGCTATTTCTACGATCTTGAGATTACACGGACTAGCCTGAGCTTTTTTTAATTTTATATCTAGTTTTATTTTCTCGAACAAAATTCTATCTCCACATAATGATGAAAATCTACCTTTGTGGAATAAAATAAAATATTCTCAGTAGCTTCTTAAATGATATCAGTTTTAAAAGAAAATTGTTTTAAAACAAGAGGTGGTCTTTGTAAACACTAAATTAAGATCAAAAAGATTTACTTAATAGTTTAATAGGCTTATTGGTAATAGCCAGATATTTAAGTTTTCTTGTTCAACCAATTGATTTCAAAATCTGTGTCGTCAAACTTCAACATCATAAATTAGATTTACAACTGACAATATACGCAGAAATTCCAGCTACCTAATTCATATTTATTTACAGTTTAGTAATATTGTCATTCTAAAAATATACAATATAGCTGAATCACATGTGATTAGAGATTGCTGTATAAAAATATCAGTATATATATACAGAAACATAAAGTAATATAACGCAATAAGTATATTTTAGGCTTTAACTGATGTTTCATTCTCTGATAACTGTTTAGATGTAGTGCTGATATTGTCTGGTATAGATGACTGTATATTAATTGTACTAGTAATAATATTCCAGTCCGTTGTAATTCTGACAAATTGTTGATATTCAATATGGAATAATAGAATAAGTGAAAGGATAAATCCAACTATCTGAAATAGAAATAATTTCATATAAATAAAAAGAAATAGTACAACATTTAGTGAGAATGTTTTATGAGGACCGATATGTAACCGGTAAAAGCTAGATGTGATTGAAAGGTGAGCGAAGAAAAATAAATACTCAGTTTGCCAAAAGTTATGACATTAATTAATATCATGAATTTCTCCCTATAATTGATCCCTACTCGAATATCATTCTGAACTCCACTGGAACTACTTGAATTTGTGCTGAATAAACTATTATCTAGTTTATAATTTGATAGTCGATTGTTGATCGTCAGTCTTTCATCTAGTTATAACATGATGTTGTCTATATATAGTGTACCAAATTGTTGTACTGCCCTATTATCGTATTATTTATCGGAAACTCGAAAGAAACAGGAGTTCGTTGTTATAACAAGAACGACTTACAGATAGCACGAGAGCAGTTGTGCCTGAAGCAGCTAACATGATTGCATATTGTTGATACTCTTGTTTGACTACTGTTACACATCCCTAAAAAAGCAAAACAATTAAGAAAAAACTGAACACTGTTCATGACTTTTACCTTTTCATGAAGATACGTATTACTTCTAGTGGTATGTAATGGATTATCAATACGAGGTGCAATATCATCTCTTGTTGCAAGGGACTTATAACCAATACATAATTCTCTGTCTAGGAAAACACCACTTTGTGACTGAATTTCTGAGAAAGAATTGAATTGAAGATTGTGAGTTTTTAAAACACAACAACTTTCTGGGAGGTATTGTACCGTCGATTTTAGACCTGTGCCAAAATATTTTAAAAAAGCATTTGAAAGTTTCAAATAGACCAAAATAAGATCCTATTTCTGATTAATTAAAAGACAGTTTGGTCCCTGTTCGTAACAAGTGAAACGTTTTCAAGAGAAAATGGTGAGGTTTAGGTAAAAAGGATTCGCTATCAAAACAAATGGTTTTAAGAGAGTTAGTTAAATAACTTATTGAAACTTTTGAGATTGCAATTTAGCTTTTAAAACAACAAAGTTATCCTTGAGATGTATGGATCGGTAGAATTCAGTCACAACTACTAACTAGAAAAAATACCTTAGTTACCACTCAGTGACTGATTAGTGTACACAGCTGAACCCTATTTACAGTCATTTTCAACCTGGATAGCTCATTGGTGATGCCTATGATCCTTACAATAGACAACTTGCGTTTGCTTTTTGCACCTTGCTCGTAATTTGTATGATAAGCTTCATATTTAACAATTAACACCCACGCATATGTCAAGCAAAAATATGATGGGAATTTTTCAGCGAATAAACCTAAAGGTTGGTGAATATTTGGCACAGGCCAAGCAATACACCATTAAAATTCGCTATAATAATGAACCCATAATACTCTCAGTATCTCAGAGGAAAACACCAGAACCATAAACCGCAGTCTTTTTACGGCTAGGCTTCAGAATTTCTTCTGTTTATTACCCTAAGTACCTATTGTATACAAGCTATTTAGTAATAATAATCAAGAACATGCTATTTTGTTTTCAACTGGTGTTTGCTATTTGCTCAGACTATTACCACATTTGCTCAAAAACGTCTTTAAAAAGCAAATGCAATAGGGTCTAACAGATCTGAAATTTTTACTTTGTCGATTTCATATAATACAACCGCTTATTCCGAATTTGCTTATCACTGGCAACTGAAATGAATGCTTAACACCTAATGATGAGAGTCATTCTATAAAAGTCATCCTATGAATTTGTGTAAAGTAATTTTGAGTCAGTGTAACCAGGTTTTAACGTTAACTTGTAGTCTTCAAAGTAGATTACTTGGGCTTACATTTATATTTCATGAGGTGTCAAATACTTTTACTTCCTTCCTTTTATAGAAGTATGATTGGTCGGATTATTCTGTGCTTTGGTAGGTGAAGAAATAGTGCATTAGGCAATCAGAATATTTAATATAGAACCTATTCCCATTTTTAGCTACATGTTCCCACTCGCACATACATAATAAGACGTTTGAGTCTTTATAATAATGCTCACTTGTGTACAAATACATTTTTCAGGATTGGGCAAATGTACTACAAATGTATCAAAGGCACAAAAACCCATGTTACTCATAGTATATTGAAAAATGAACGGAAATAAACTAAGTCGATAGCTTGATAAGCTTTTTTTAAGTTTGAGAGCGCTTATCAATGTAGAAATTGAGCAACGTAACTATACCCCTCTTAATATAAAAACAGATTGTATAGAGTCTAGTACTGTGGTGTGTTACTGATGTTGTCAGGTATAAGTAGTGTGCATCATCAGTCAAAAGTGAAATGTCTGGCGACAGAAGTTTAAGAAGACCAAGGAAAAGAAAACGGGAACAGAGAATAATTGGTATGGAAACGAAAGAACAAGCAAATCTGAAACAATTGATTGACACTTTGCAAATGAAGTAGTTACTGCGTAATTCTCAGAATTCATAAAGAGATTCCGTAATTGTGTATTCAAATACACCTGGTTGTCCCATTGGTGTTCGTGTTTATTACAGTACTAGTACACACGCGGTTCATCCTAGATACTGGATAGACTTTAATAACTCACACAGCATGTGGCTACTGAGTCATTTTTATTTTCATGACAATTTTATTCTTTTCATAGAAAATTGTGACCTTCAGCGAATCTATGTCTCGTATTTATAACCTCGTAATTCTAAACTTAGTCATCTTGTGTGTACATAAGTCACTCATTAGTTTATTTAAAGCAGTTCTCTTGGTCACATTAAGCATTATCTATTTTTAGCGTATGTGAGTGGATCGCTTACTTCACTTGTTATATATCTTTTGCTTATTTTGGTGTGTTATAAATAACGGATCGCTATTAAGATTATTTGGCACCCTTGCATTCTCCGCTTTGTTTTCCTGCTTCTAATTTTAATGTTTGTCTGTGCAAACGGTTAAATGAAATAAACTAATTCAACTTAATCCATATTTGGCTTCTTACTACCCACTTCTCACGAACAGATTTAGCCTAGATGTAGCAAACAGGACCAAACGAGGGCATATTCGTTGGTTCGGCCAAAATAGAATCAGATCACTAGCCATTAAAATTCTCAAGACCAAATATTTATTCTCTTTAGAAACAAATAACAACCGGACAAAAACTATCAGTCCTTCATATTAAGACCTACCTAGCTCTTGTGTTACGTAAAACCACGTACTTGATCCTCTATAAATAAACCATGAATAATTACTTGATTTTTCACCATGCGTACCACAACACTTAAACTACATTTGCACAAGAAAGAATATTAGGCTTTAATTTGGATACTTTGAACTGAATTTCATTTATTGCAGCAGTCAAATCCTTATTTCGACGAAGCGACATATTTATGCCATAATATTTCGTTATCGCTGATGTAAATCTACCTGGCAATTCTATGTCCAACTAGAAAATAGCATATAATTATTATTTAAGATACCACCTCCAGTAATAGCAAAAATCCACAAACGCTTACTGAAAGAAACGCCGAAACTAGGATGAAGTTGCTAATTATATGCTTTCCGAGTAAAGTTTGAAGCAAAACTTACAATTAATAACAAAGTAGGACTATCAACGTTGAAAATGCAATATCCAAAAACAGCCACTCCAGCCCCAACTATAGATGAAATAAGCAATATAAGCTTTCCGGAAGAAAAGTAATAGGATTTCATGATAATTTCGAATTCAGAAAATCGAGATGTCCAAATTAGTAACCAACATGATAAGCCCACAAGAATTCCCATTAATAACTAGTGAGAAATCATTATTTGACAGTAATTACCAAAAAAAGGATCTGATGAGTCAGTAAGGAATTTTTTAACCAAACGCTTAGAGACGTCTGTACTGGGCGATATGTTTTAAAAACCATATGTTCGGGTTTACGAATTGAGACTCATCATATCCATAGAAGCGAGCTTCGGTTAAGTTAGATAAACAAGTCTAATATTTAACAGCTTCAAACATCCGATGTTCTGTTGCTAACGTCCATATTTTCGTGAAAATTTAGTACAAACAGTCTTATTGATTTCAACTTTTACTTTGGTCTCGTAGTACAGATTTGGATCTCTAAATAGTTCAAATTCAAATGGTTCAAATGGTTGTGGACGGAATAGAAGAAGGTTTCACTTAACGGGCTTCCGTCGCTTAGACTACCTCAGTCGACAGTAACTTCTAACATTTGACAACTCTTAAGAAGTAGACGTTGTTTCTAAGGTCTGTTCTGTTATGTTGTCTATCCAGTTTCGAAGTGTTACCCCTTGGGTTTGTATTGAGACTAAGCTTAAATAGGTGTTTAAGGGGACGTCCAGAAGTGTTAAGGATACTGTAAGTGATTAGGAGGTCAGAAGGACAAAATAGGAATTTTCAGTTCCAATTGGGGAAGGACAAGAGACTAAGTGGCGTGTTTTGGCCTTGGTAAAAGCGGTCACACGCTTGACCCAACTTTCTTTTGAAAACGTTGACAGATGGTGTATCAGTCACGCGTTGTGGTAATGAATTTCATTTGTTAATGTGTAATTAGGAAAGTTGATAGTCATCTGACAAATAATTTGTTCTTGGATTATAGATATTTTTAGAGATTCATCGTCAATTCGCTGGTTTGGAAGACAAGAAAACTAGAACATATCAGACAAAAATTTACCATCAACTAATTTAAAAACTGTGATCAAGTTGCATCTGGGACTTTCATACGACAACGGAAATAAATTTGATTTGGCCAATCTGTCATAATATGGGAGCTTTGCTTTCTAAAGGGTGAATTTACTTGCGGTTCCCCAACTTTTCCAACACCTTGAAGTGACCTACTATTATGACGAGAACGCGATTGGTGTAATGGAAACAATTATCATTATAACCGATTGTACCAGTGATTGTTTTACTGTAATTGTTTGTTTAACTGTACCAAAAGCACTTTTCCTTCCGTTGTTCATTTTGCTTGTACGAACACGCTTACGTCAACTGTTTTGCCTATAATCTTTAGCACATCGGATAATGAAATAATAGTCAACCCAGACGAGTGTGAACTTGATAAAACGGAAATAAAAGTCTTAGGTCATGTCATTAAGCAGGAGGGTATCCTACCTTGTGAGGACAAAGTGCATGCAATAATGGAGTACACCGTACCGTCCACGCTCAAGGAATTGAAAGCATTTCTCGGTTTGTTCAGCTTCTATCGACGTTTCATCCCTTACGCCGCAGAACGGTTATCACCATTAACCGACCTACTTCGCGTTAAATCACGCAAACTGTAATTGAATGATGCCATGCGTACTGCATTTTCAGAGATTAAAACCACACTTCTCGCGCATTCTGACGCATCAGCAACGCATAGTAGAGCGTTTGATGCATCGGATGCAACAGAACATCTCCGGGAGTTGGCAACCTCTTGAATTTTTCTCACGTCTCACTCCTACAGAGACGATATATAGCGCTTTTGGTCGAAAACTCCTAGAAGCCTACTTCGCGATCAAACATTTACGCACACAGTAGAAAGTCGCAATTTTATCCTATTCACCGACCATAAGCCTTTAAAGTGTGCTATGCATACCAAGTCTGACCGCTATTCACCACGAGAGTGTGGATATTTGGACTATATCTCTCAGTTCACAACAGACCTTCATCACGTCAAAGGCTAGTCGAACCATGTTGCCGATGCTCTGTCACATATCCAAGTAAATGCAGTTACTTTGCCGGTGCTCGAATTCCCTGCTACGGCCGTCATCCAAGCAAATGATCCTTCATGCACAGAAGCCAAATATTCTAGGTGTTGGGGCAATCCTGAAACTTCCAGAATACTACTAAACATAGCAGCAGTGCAGAACCAGAAGATGACTGGGTGAAACATGCAGGAATTGTGAATTGAGAATGTGAGAGGTTCAAGTTATCTTCCATCACTGAAGACCAGCTTAAATGCCTAGTATTTATCTGTAGCCTGCGTTCACCTGAGGATTCTGATATCCGAAGGATAATCCTAAGCAAGCTTGAACATTGTCTGAACGTGACCCTGTAGGAAGTGACTACTGAATGTCAAAGATTGGTGAATTTCAAGCATGATACCTTGATGGTAGAAAACGCTAACCAGTTCCTCCACGTTAATGCTGTCGAGAGAAAATTCTTACAAGGTTCCAGCATACATAATTATCGAAATGACAGTGGCAAACGATCATCCCCATGCTGGTTATGTGGCGGATGGCATTTCAAAAGGTTTTGTCCGTTGTAAAGCCATTAATGTACTACGTGTTTCAGAAAAGGACACAAAAAAAGTCATTGCAAAACCCGGAAACGCCGTCGACCTAAAGTTTATTCTAAAAGATTCAAGCCACATACAGCCAAAGTGACGGTAGCTGTTAACAGAACCGGCTACCATAATCGTAGAAAGTATGTTTCCCTCAAGATTAATGGGTATGATGCCCGCTTACAGTTAGACACAGCCCCCGATATAACACTTATGAGCAGGAGGACGTGGGAGAAAATTGGGAGACCGAGAATATATTCAACTCATCAATCAGCACACAGCGCATCTGGGGGAATTCTAAACATTGCTGGTGAGATTCATTGTGAAATCACAGTCAAAGAGTTTACGGAGAAAAGAGTAATATTTTTGACAGAACGTCCATCACTCGACTTATTGGGGCTTGATTGGATAAAAAGGTTGAAATTATCAGACCGTCCCATAAACTCGGTCTGTAGCAATGTCAGTATGTCGAAAGTTGAGGATCCAACATTGTTTCGTGGGGGAGGATAAAGTCGGCAAATGCAGTCTGAATACCAACCCCGAATCTTCAGAAAAAAAGGGGAGATGTTGGGATGATCATGCAAATTTCTCGCAATAGACATGATAAGCTCAGGAAACAGTAAGAAGCATTTTATCCAATCAGCGTTTGATTAGAAGTTTTGCTAGAAATATTGCGAAAATGAAATGTCACATGTACAGGTTCTGATTGGCTGAATACTACACTGCTACTATGTTTATCAGTATTCTAGAATTTTCAGGAAAGCCCAAGGACTTTTAAAATACTATAAAAACACTATATTTTCTGTACATGAACGAACCTTTGGATAAAATGCTTCCCGCATATTTTGTGCCTTTTCTCTCTTGTTCAAGTCTCCGTGTAGTTCTAGCTTGGGGTTACGAGACTAGCTTAGGATCCGAATAAAGCGTTCAATTAAGAAGACTTTTCACTAAGTTCCTTCAGTGCCGAGAAGTACCCCTAGCAACTAGCCCAGGTACTATCCTATGCGGTACTTCTACGGGTCTCCCTCGACCCATCGTACCCTCTGATTACCGTCGTCTCGTCTTCGATGTCCTGAATGGACTATCTCACACACGATGTGTCTGGCCGTCCATGAACGATTACGATGTCACTGGCGCTTTCGCTACACCTGATGCTAGCTTCCATCACTTTCACATAGAAATTGTGAGATCATGGCCACCATCGCACGGATATGACCACATGCTCACTTGTATCGATCGTTTCACAAGATGGCCTGAAGCTATTCCAATCACATCTATGACGGCGGAGACAGTTGCTCACCGCTTCGTGGAACGATGGATACCTCTGTACAGTTGTCCGTCGACTGTCACGACTGGCCGAAGACAACAATTTGAGTCCGCATTATTTTCCTCGCAAACCCGGCTGCTTGGTACGAAACACATATGCACTACCGCCCACAACCCAGCATCAAATGGTTTAGTTGAACGGTCTCATAGCCAACTAGTAGTGCTCTTCGAGTACATGAAAACAACAATTGGTACGAAACCTTACCGCTCGTCCTATTAGATATCAGAGCGAGCTTAGAGGCAAATATTCAATGTTCACCGCTGAACTTGTTTTTGCGGCACGACATTGAGTCTCCTTGGAGAATTTTTTACACCACGGAGCATTATCGGTTTCGGCGAATCAGACTACGTCCAACGACTGTCTGCATTCGTGCGAACACTGCATTCGGTGTCAACTCGTATACCACATTGACAGGTCGCTCTCCCTCGAGAGTTATCTACCTGTTCACATGTTTTCATACGAATAGATTCCGTACGCAAAAGTTTTTCAAAGCCTTAAGAAGGACCTTTTCACGTGATTTCCCGTCAAGAAAAGACCTTTAAGGTTGATAGACATAGCCGCGTCAAGGTAGTCATCATTGATCGTCTCAAGCAAGCACACGTCGATGACAGTCCCCTACCCGATAAGCCGAGACTCAATGCTAGACCCATCAAATCTTCTAGCGGGATCTCTACATCTACTTCGAACCCAACGCTAGACACGTCAGAGACCTCATTCTCACGTCCCAGTCAATCGCACGTGTCCTCTGCACCGTCTACGGACGAGACTTCAGTCTTACGTCCAGATCAGCAGACCACGCCTCCCTTGACTTCGGATGAGATCGCAGTCTCACGAGGTACGAAAAAGACTGCGGTCTAACGTTCAGGTCGCCAGGTATGCTTACCCGTACGTTTTCGCGACTAACCTCACAGCCAACAACGGATACCGTATAGAACTCTATCTATATACTACATGCATGCTACACTTTTCTCTTTTACTTTGATTTTTTTCTTTACTCTGAGCCCACGCCTCCGACCATCGCCCAATTGGTTCCGTCGGCTTCAGTCAACCTTGGCGAAAGCTGACCTGATCACCCACGCTCTTGTCAATGCACTCAGTCGATCTCTCTCGTTCCAAATACGTATGGCATACATTTGGTCTCTAACTTGGTTATTATGGTCGCGCCTGGTTTCTTGGCTCAACATGGTTCCGTTCTACGTCTGCAGCATTTTCTGGTCCTGACGCCGACGAACGCAATCTTCAGATTCTGGTGTAACACGCTAACTCAGGCGACAAATACAGCATGTTCCTCCTGGTACCGTTCTACGTAAAAGACCTTTGGCGGAAAATTGAGGATCAACGATCGCTTTCTGTTCTGCCAACGCTTTCGTCCTACAATAGCAAATTTGGCGATCAGTCCCACGAACGAAATCGCTACGTATCGAAAGTGTAAACTCTTTCTAGCTGGGGGCTCTTGTAGTGATCTATTATTATGACGAGAACGCGATTGGTGTAATGGAAAAAATTATCATTATAACCAATTGTACCGAGGGATCCAAGTCAATATCAGGCACGTA